TACCGTGCAACCTCCCCCCTTCTTGACGGTCGATATTCTACCACCGCCGACAGTTTTTTTTCTCCTGAGCCCTCCAAACCACAAAAACCACCATCAACTATATTTTTATGCCTTAAGCTCAGGAGTTTTTTTTTTTCACTGCCGGTCGGATTTGTGTTTAATCGCTTCCCTTGACAATGCCTGTAAACTGGCATTAAATTAAAATTTATTTATTTATTTATTTATAAGTAGTATCACGCTCCGATCTTTACACTGCATAAAGTTACCTCTTATGCATTACCATTTGACAAAATGTAAGTTTGAACTTCTCGTTTCTCTATCCTCATGCATGTTTCCAGATGTCAAGTTCGGTTTCTTTGTTAAGTTATTTGTATCTCATTTTTTACTATTCTTTAATTTGCATGTGAAATCAAACTGTCATCTCCGAAGGGACGCAAGATTTCGACTAACGTTTATTTACTCCAATACGTAATACTGAATGTGCCATGTGAGGAATAAGACGAAACATGTTTTCGGCGACGAAACTTCCTTGAGCTCCATGACCTTGAATGGACTTGTTTAACTATTGAGAACTGTAATTGTTTGAGGTCACTGTTGCGCTATCAACTTCCAAAATGTCGTTGAGAGTGCAAGTTCAGAAGGCGTCAAATTTGAAAAATGTCGAAGTTATCGGCAAAAGCGACCCTTTTACACTGGTTGAATTCAACGGCAAGTTATAACGTGTTCCACGAGCGCATATTATGATATCGTCTACTATTTAATTCTAGCACTCACTTCTCATAAAACGTATGCTCTAGGAGCTCAATACGAGCAGAATTAACGATGCAACATTTCGAATATTCCGCCCGCTATGTTTGTTTTACGCAGAAATCTGATATGAAGTGTTTTGAATCTAGTTCATTTACTCTATGCGCTTTTATATCTTGTTTTCTATTTTTTAAATCATATCCATTTAGCAATATTCATGTTCTTATTATCTAAATGGAGCAATTAACTGCCACCCTATAGTTCACCCAAGGTATTAAAAGAGACATTTTTTCTCACATTTAGATTGGAATAATTGAAAGTGCCACTGATACTAACGTTTTCATTATTTATGTAATGGAAGCCTAAATGAAACTTTTTGTGGCATACTGTGGATATCTGACATTATTTCCGAAATTATTATACTCGTCCTCTGCGCGTTTAGTTTATCATTGTTAGAACGTTTTTTGACAATTCTCTGCTTCAATGTTCTCTAAATGCGATCTAAATTACATCAATTACTGGCGGCAATTGGTTAGGGTAAAGTTAAGATTGATAAGGCAGTAGCAGGTCAACGAAAAGAATCTAATGTGATTACGACAAACGCATATATCGTGGTCTGCGAAAGTTTTTGTAGAACTGCGAAGTCTGCTTTGAATGTACGGTTCTTTTAACAGATGCACGGAAGTGAACTTACCTGAGTAAATCTGAATATGGGGTACATCAGTAAGGAAGTTGTGTCTTAAAAAATGATTGATTGAAAACACCGACAGATGGTCATTTTCTTAAGACGGGACAGTGAAACCTCTCTTGTCAGATCTTGCAATTGCACGTCATTGATCTAGTGGGGCATACGAAAACAGTCTGATTACAACCAGTTACATGCCTGCATTCGAAAGTTGCACTTCTTAATATATCTGCAAGTGCATTAACCTAGTGAAGTGTCCTGCTTTTTTATAATGGGTTCAGTAAAATCCCAGGTAATTCTTGTTGATATAGAACCCTTACGTTTTTTTTCAGGCGAATCACAAAAGACAAAACATGTAGACGACGAACTTAACCCAACATGGAATGAGGTACGTCAATTTTTGTGGAAGATAGATGTTTTTAGACTCTAACATTCGACTTAAAAGGCAAACCGCTGTCCTCTTCCGATGAGATTACGTTCACCGTTAGAGACTATGACAAAGTTGGCACCGGAAAGTGAGTGCCCCTTTTCAAACATTTAGCCCATAGTCAGCAAGCTAGACTAGTTGATATATACAGGTTTTCGTGCTTGCCATTTGGTTCCACACATTTTTAGAGAACATACAAATGAAAAGGAAAACAATAATATTTACTCTTTAATTGCTTATTTTAATTACAAAGGGAGAAATAATGTAATTCGCTGAGATGTCCGTCAACATTTGTAAAATTATAATAAGAACCTTTCGGTCATATATCAGTTAACTACGCAACATGCTCTATCATTCGAATATGTAAATCACCATCAGAGATGCAGTATTACACTGACTGAGAGTAACTCCTTCAAGAATAATCCAGTCGCACATTTAGCATTGATTGATTTTTATTTCACAATCATGTTTGTTGCCGAAACATGTATCCTTTTTTATTTTGTGAATTCGAACATATTTTAACTCGAAATACTACTTTTGTACATCGCTCCAATCTGGGCTTAGTGTCACTTAACTTCTTGAACTACGGTTCAACAACAGTGCTTGATAGTTTTTATGCTAAATAATTGTGGTCTGTGTATTCTATGATGTTTTAGCTTGGCGCAGAAAAATAGTCGTTATTTTTGAAAGACAAAAGGCGCGCGCATCCCAAAATCTCATATGGCTATTTCCTTCAAAATTATATCGTAAACCATTCTGGAGACTACAGAAAATCTTTTGGTTTAGGCGTATTATGCATTTACTTGTAGCTGTACCTCTTCCACTGTTTCCGTTATTATGTTCAAAACACTCAAAAAGTAGAATCTCGATAATGTCTTATTGACCTTAATCAAATATCCACATGCTGAAAGAGTGGGATGTGGCCTTGAGAATATTTCCTTCACCTAACAGTCCTATAGAAGAACACCTCTGGAAGAGGTGTATTAACTCAAGTATAATTAAATTCTCTCAGCACATAGATCCTAACCCAAGTTGGTCGTGCTTGAGTAAGCATCTTCAGCTGTATTGTCTGCATATAGATCTGTTTGCATTAAGTAGACTGATTTCGAGTTAACGTCATCAGATATTATTTAATTATGACTTTATTCTGGACATTTTTTAGAGTTTACCCAATTTTAAATCTAAGAAATCCACAGAGTAGTTGAGAACAGATTTTAAATCACTAGTCTAAGGGAATTCTGTTAAGGGAATTCTGTCTAAAATGTTCGATAACTTCGTTTGCGTTTGTCCGGCGGCGGTTAGTAGAGCCACTTTATGCACTCATGCCTCAACTGCTTTTAAAATGACCGTCAATTACACTGTTGTGATTGTGATTTCGAGTTTGTTTTGTATCAATACGGATTTATTTAACTGTCAGTGAAACCCACTAAGAATACATGATTTATGGCCATATGAATGCGTAAGATTCGTTAAAATGTGTGCTGAATCCCCCTTTCCGAACTCGAAAGTGTCAATGCAATGTACGGTGGAAACCGGGTTGTGGTGATTCTTCTATTGATAACCTTGTCGAGTGGGCTTTTTCGTTTAAATTTTTGCTATCAAAACATTCATGGTAAAGGCATACGTTTGAACCCTAAATAAAAAACATGTCTGATTTTGAGATTACAAACCGTTCCAAAATCGAATAAAGACGGTTTTGGCAATATACCAACCTTCATGTTCTCATTTAAAGGCAAGCAATAGCGTTTATTCTGCATCTAACTTTTTAATCACTTTAGGGATTTAATGGTTCATGTGTCTGGGATCTGAGCTGCATTTGCGCTGACTCCCGCAAAAGTCATTTTCATGTGGTTGAAATTTAAGGGGTTGATGAACCCTTGACGAATTGAGGTATTCTGTTAGAATCTAACCACGCGTTTAGCTGTGTTGAGCGAAAAAAGTATTCAGGGAGTAACCTTTATAACAGTTCTGTTGTTTAAAACTTGCATTTACCGCAAAGTGAAAGAAGTAGGATCCGTCCTTCGCAGCAGTCAGGGCTCAGTCTGTCTCTTTTATATAAAGAGTGACGAATCATCATCCCGAAACATACGAATTTGAGTTTCACACATAAACCAGATTATCTTACGAAACCGTTTTCATATCTTAAACTATAAAACTAGACTTATCAACGGAATGAAATATCATGCAATTCTTAAACACCAAACAAAAACGTAGTAAGGCAGGAAGAAAAGCTATTACCCGGTATAGTCAAATTTTATCACCCCAAAATCACCTACTGGTAAAGTAAATATTCCAGATGATAACTTTGCAAAGAGAAATTACAAAATAGATACGTTTCCTTCTTACAGGTCCAAATGTGAAAATTTTGGAACGGTTTTCACTTTTGCCCGAAAATCAATTTTGTCAATTTCGAAAACTGTTAGTGCGCAATTAAAGTTTTTGCGCGGCCTTTTTTCTCTACATTAGTTTGATATAGTCCTTCCAAATGCAGCGGACAATTAAGCCTAACAAAGCAATGTGGAATAATTGATTATTGAATGCTTTTCTGTCAGGTTCATGGGCCGAGCCAAGGTGCCTCTTGGAGGTATGATCAGCGGCGCCAAGGAAATTAAGAAGACTTTGACGCTGACCGACAAAAAGGATAATCCCCTCGAGGTATTTTCCGACGTAAAACTCTGTTGTGTTTAACCCTCCAACAAACCTTTCGGACAAAATGCAGAATGTACCTCCCTGGCCACACTTCTGACCAGTTTTCTCCTTAATGCCTTAATGTTATCAAAGCGAATGCAAGCTTGATTTCTAAAGATCTTAAGCGAAATCGCGGAAGTGGTGCGGGGAGGTATGCGCATCTGCATCTTAACTAGGTTGTAGCTTGAAGCTCAAGTATTCGGAGTCATGAAATAAAACACTGCATTCCGACCACTATCAACGTTACAAAATGCGTTATCTCTTCCAAGAGGTTCGGAAAAATTATGATTTTCAAGGAATATGTGTCATGAATCTTATAAGGGTTTTCTAAAACAGCAAACGCGTTTGCGGGTTAAACAGTGTTAAATAAAATTAACAAAAAATATGTGTTTAATATATGAAAATGAAACTTAGCCACTGAGGAATTTCAGACATTCTCGCTGGCGTTCCCGCTTATCAGACTTCTAGAATACAGACTATTTAAAGTTGTCTTTAATGTGCGGTGCATACGAGTCTTTTATGCAGGGAGTTTTTTTCTTACGCTTCAAAGTCTACCTAAATTTTAATTAAATAGAGAATGATTGGCGACGGGATAAACGAGGCGTTAATATATGTGGCAAATTTTGGAATCCTTCCATTTTCATGTATGCTAGTCTTAATTAAATCCGCCGGAATATCAAAACACTGGAATCTTCGATTTTTCTGCAGTAAAAGGCCTCGGCTACCTCTTCGGGACCAACTTAAGGCCTTTATTTTGCAGCACAGCTTGACCTTACCTAAGTATATACGGCATCATAAGGCGGATTCTATAATGCCGTGTTTTTGGTCCTTCCTGAGGTCACGACAGAATCTGTAGACGCCAGAAAAATCCGCAGCTAAGTTCACTGGCCCGTGTACACTCCTAGCAGTAGGTGGCAGATCTTGTACAAACAATTACTTATAACGCGGCACGCTTGAGGTTATTGACCTCGGACTATCTGAAATCGCGACCGTTACGTTGACGGCTGCCCAGTGCAAATGTGCAGTGTAGTTAAAAGTGATGTAAATGATCCGTTGACAGGACGCTTATAGCAAAATGTTCCATTGTGCAATCTTAGTTATGTGTGAAACCAATCACTCTACACTTGCCACTGTGTGCGTAGACCAGTGATTGATACGATTCACTAGGACCGCAATTGAGTCTTCTCAGATACCAAACGTGCGAAAATTTGAACAAGTGCAATCAGAAGTTAAAGACATTCCAGTTTTCCTCGTCTTTGTCAGTAACTCATATAGACCCAACTGGGAAAAACTCGGCGCCTTGGTTGGATTCGAACCCAACGTCTGGAGTCCATCAAAGATGATAGAGTAAGCTGACTGCCCAAGCAGGATTTCCTAAGTAATCCACCTAGGATCCACCAGCTGACTACCAAGCTCACGTACTTCACAGATATTTTGGCAGATTTTGAATGCAGACTTAAAAACGTAAAGAAGGATTTAGGCTTCCACTCGTGCAGGTCCCTTGTTATAATACCGTTAATCAAACTGCTGCCTTATAATTCAAAGAAACTTAATACAAAATCATTCGCAAATTAAAATTGCGTTAAATGTGGGAACTCCAAAGACAAACCGGAACTAACTGCTCCATCGTCTTGCTTGGCTTTGGGGCAGTTTCTTTGAACCTTTTTAGTCCACCCTCTTTGTCGACATTTTTGAATTTTGCGGATTTCGACGACAGACACCTCATGTACCTCAAGAGTACCTTCAAAAGAAAATGAGTCCTACTTAGAGGCGAGCACGAAGCAAAATACGAATTTTATTTGCAATCACTGCTAAACTCTTGAAGTCCAGATGGGCCGTTAATAATAGCGAGCCATCGTCAACTTCCATGCTATTGAGTTACGGGAGGTTTTATATTTCGCGTGGAGGCCCTTGTGTCGAACTATAAAGCTGGGTCTAAAACTAGGTGGCTCACGCCTCTCAGCAATATCACGGATGTGTGTCACTTCTATCTGAACTCTTATCACCAAGGCCTTATATCGAAATTGGCTTTTTGAATTAAACTGCTCTAAAGTATTCCCTCATGATGTGATCGAGTTAGCTCTTAAGCTCACTTTTCTTTCCTGCTTCGAAGGGTACGCTTGACGTCACAATAGCATATGTCCCACCGGCCGGAGGCTCTGGTGATGCTGGTAAGCATCAAAGGTTTCATTGTTGTCCTCACACATGCATTATGTTGTTATCATTTTCGAACTTTACTGAGACTTAAAACGTTACTCAGAAATGAGGAAGGATTAGTGATTTGTTTCGCCTTCCAAAGTCAGGATTTGTCGTAGGGTGGAATAAGATACATGATAAAAGTATGCAGTGTCCTCAGTGACAGACTGAGTGCTTGGGGTAATCACATATTTTAACCTATCGATTATAAATACTAGATTGTAATTAACCTCTGCTTCGACCGATACCCCGCATATATAGGGCTGGCCCCCCTTCCTCAAGCAAACGTCTCAGAGACTTAGCCGGTGGACTTAGCATTATCTGCCAGTCTGAAAACATGCAAAGCTGAGGCGGAAGGCGCAAAATCCTGGTCTACCTGCGCCTGGGGTGTGAAGTCCAAGGTGTGATTCAGTCAGTTCATCGACCTTGAGACTGTGCATTTGTGGTCACAGTTTCGTGAAGCCTCCGCGACATTGGTTGCTTCGCTTGACAAACATCAGTTCGGTACGGTAGACCAAAGTCTGTTCAGTCTCAGAAGGAATAAATGCACAAACGCAGTCATGCAATAGGAGCCACGAGATTCCTTCTGAATTGAGCATCTGTTAAGATGCTGGAGTGACAAGCGTTTAGCAGGCAGAAGTTCAGGAACAAACCATGCATAAGTGTTAAATAATAACGGCAGTTTCTGCTGGTCGTACTGAGATAATAGTCTAACGCTCTTGAAAAAATGAAGCCTTTGTTTGCTGGAAACTATACCACACCACCAACAGTCAAAGAAATAATTTCTAAAAGTACTATGAAATGGATTTGGAGATAAAGGCCAAAGACGTGAAGGTAATTGGTGCCGGCAAGTGGAATAACCTTGAAACCCGTATATATCAAAATAGATTTCATCTGTAAATCATGGTCGAATTCGCAGAATTTGTTTAATTCTTTTATCAACGTCAGCTTTCGAGCCGCCGTCCATTGTCCTTCATGCACTGCGATAAAGCGAAGCGATGGAATCTCAAGCATCAAGAGAGACTTTGTTTGGGAGGCGAGAACCTTCTTATTCAGTGGCCACTCTTAAATCGGCACAATTTCCAGTTATGCAGCTCAATCCAATAAAAGAGTTTAGAGGGACGAAGTTAGGTAGATGAGGGGTATTCTACGAAACATTTTTGTCCAAACCGCCTGTTTGACATGATCTCACCGAGGCAGTGTCCTACACCTTATCCCTTGAAAATAAAACTTCTCATGTTTGAAGCTTACTCTGGCTACTGCGATTGACTGCAGAGTGTTAAATCTAAAAAGAAAGGAGCATAACCTTAACCATCAATCATCCAATTATACATACAATTTTTGAGACACCCTGTATATATGGAGGAAGGAATAATGTTCTAGTCCACAACGTGCCCACCAAAACCCGATGCTTAAATAATTGAATGTCCTGCGCCAGAAAGGTTGCTTTAATCTATTGACATCGATCTGGTTGGCGCCGTAACCGGGGTCTAATGGCATTACGAACAAACTGGGGAATCATTCCAGGTAGGCCATCTCATTCGACGCCAGGCCACCTCGTTCTTGACTGTTCGCAAACAGCGAGCAATCACTACCAGGGAAGAGGAGGATGTTTTCGAGAAACTGAAGACTAATACGAGCAAAGTGATACTACTCAGACAAAGGACGTTCTACAATTGTAGCGGATAAGGCTGATTACATTCAGAGGGCCAACACACAACTGAGGGATCGACAGGTGGACTTCCGATGTGATGATGAACTGATGAGGGTAACTGATGTTACAACTCGAAAAAGACGCTCGGTTAACCGCCGACGAGTAAAGCAATAAGTCGGTACGACTGGCCATTAAAGCAGTATATATGGTCGCAGCTAGGTTTTACGCATTGCACAATGTACTCAATGTTGGTATTCTCCTCCGAACAACTGTGTCATCGCGTGAGGTTCCACATTCAAATCTGACTAGATGGCTGTCCCCATTCCTGCAGTACCTCATCTCGGACGTAGCCACAACGGTCGGTTTGGTCATTCGGTCCTCCGAACGGTTTAGGGAGACGTGAGATACTGCAGACCTGGCTGTAGTGCCATTTGACGTCAACTCTCTCCACTTTCATTCCACGGGTCCTCGCCGTCAAAGCGGTCTGTCGACTGCTTGAGAGTCAGTGCGACGCGATGGGTTAGACGATGAAGTGGAGACTTCTTTCAACTCCACTAAGGCTCTCTGAAGACGTACTTCGCGTTCGAATGGGACATGTTCGAGCAGGTAAAAGGGTCACCAACGAAATCGCCCCTCTAGGGTTTCATCATAGAGGCTGCTCTCTAAAATCCGGAGACGCTGGTATTCACAGAATCCACAGGCCGAAAATCTTGCACTCGATACGCGATAACACCGTCGTCACCATCCTCGGGAAACGGCCCAATAGTTCCACAATGTCTGGGTTTCCGTCTTCTCGGACATTCAGTTCACAGTAAAGTGGCAACCAGCAGCCGTTTTTGGCGGTTCTTTCCATCGAAACCCAAACGCGTACCTATAAACCAACGTATCGGAAGGCCACCAAAATACGCGAAATTTTAGCCTACTGCGAAAAGCGCTCGGCATGCCACAAACGCAAATCTGCGCGAACTCTCTACAAAAGTGTGGAAACGTTGCAGTGAACCGGACAACAAAAGACCGAAATTTCGCTATCTTCAGCGACATTTCTTAACCAACGACTAGTTCCACAGCTCCGTCGGACATAGAAGACAGTCCAGTACAAGCCAAAATCCAGCCACAGAACAATTAAAACTCCGGTAGCTCGTCTCCTCAGTCCATTGAGGATAAGCATCGCACATAGGTCGGAGTAAGCCACTGACCACTTTACCAGGAGACCTAAGGCCCCCGGTCATGAGATGAGACAACACACGTCAATTACCGGCTACAGTTTAACTCCAGCGAAGTTATTTACGATGGAGAGACCAAGAAACAAATACAGACCCATGCTAGAGAACATACGAAGGCAATTAGAAGGGTAAACGTGTTGTTTCTGGTGGCGGAAACCTGTCAAAACTGTCACGAATTTAGAGCAGACGTGAATCCAAATACCTGCCAGCCTGCGCCAGATACACAAGTAACCGAATTAAACGGATCGGACGAAGGCGCAGCCATTCATACTCTCACACCGCCTAATATTTTCGCAGACAAGGCAAAATCCAGTCAACGATGCGCACACATGATTCGCAGCCCAGGGCGGCAACTTAGGTCACTGCGGGTGCGGTGATGCTGTCACCAGACGGTCATATCCAACTCTGGGTTTTAAGCATCTGGGATTCGAATGCGGTATCTCTGGTCACTGGGTCGAACCACATGCTCCGTTCGTGAGGTTAGGTATGGCCGGCGTGTGACAGCCTTTAAACCGGAAATGACCCTTCCGGTCTCCGCTGTTTTCATCGATAGTGTCAATCTGCCAATACCACCAGTCGCCCTGCGAGTGTCTGGGAACTTTTACGTGGAGACCAAAGTGACTCCGGGTAAAAGTGTTCAGTAACTCAATCCATTAACGCTCCTGCAACGTATAAATGCATATATGAACAAGGGAAAGGCGCAAAAACTTTGAATTCAATGACGTCACGAAATTTCGTAATGTAACTCCATTACCTCACCGGTGCTCTCACTGCCATGGCAAGGATCTATACTGGACGTGAATGTCCTCTCACTATCGTCCCGCGCATGACTGGCTGTAATCCGAACTCGCTTGCCTAAATGACTTCTCCTCCTTCCTCCTCACCATGCACAACCGCATATCAGACCAACAGTCCATGTTTTATTCACTGGTCACGTCTTATCCCTCTAGACCGCTCTAATTGGACAGGTTATCTTGCAAATAGGCAATTACCGTATGCAGTAGAAAGAGGTGACGAAATTTTTTGACTTCATTAAATGCTGCAAGTTTTGTCGCCCTTGCCTCGTTAGAATTCATTCCTGGAAAATAGGGCTTCAGTATGTATGTATGTATGTATGTATGTTAGATGGGAGTGAAGGTATTGACACAAAGCAGTCTCGGGCCCGTTCTGAATCCGTTCAGTCAATCATGGCCACGACTGTCATCCGGTCCGCAAACACAAACATGCGAGCGTACAGGACGCAGATTGTTTGCAGATGGGTTTATCAGACGGGTAATAAGCGCTTCACTAAACCAAGTTGCTCTCGTACTTCGCCACCTGACATGCTCTGTCGTTACAAATATGTGCATACAAATATATGCAGTTGAGGGGTCACACCGATCAGGTTATGGGACGTGTTCGTCCTGTTGTGCCATAGGACTCAATCTAGAGCCGTTGCATCTAGTCGCACAGCGATTAGTGTTATATATAAGTAAGGAGGCACCGACAAAGAAACGGAAAGGGAGATGGTTACATATAACTTTTAGCCGTCGCCCAACAACAATACCCAAACCCAGGTTTTGGGGACCCCGGTTTTGATACCGGGTTACTTGGTTATATGCCACTAGTCACTATGCGACTGCCTCAAATGGATCTAAATTGAGCTCAAAGGGACAATGGGACGAACGCGTCCCGAAACCTACTCGGTTAACGTCCAAAAACGTCTTGGATCTAGCATAGTTTTCAGCTAATTAATATTTTTATCAATCTGGGCCCAGCTCAAAATTCGCCGGTTCGAGACATCAGTCGCATGAGGACGGTAGGCAAAACTGAAAAATCGCATCGACAATGTCTAGCGAGTTAGAGGTGTCACCTTTAGATTATTTTCCGTCGAGGACATTGGTAACTCAGTCGGCTTATGGCCGAGCGAATTTAAGGTTAACTGTCTCCGGACATCCACTTTCTCGTAACCATTTCTATGATATTTGTAATGATTGCTTCTATTCGGTTGCTGTCATTTTTGATCGGGCTATCTCCTGAAAGCCTAACGCCTATGAAACGGGAATAAAAGTTGGTCTACTAAGTTCTTTCTCCCCAAATAGTTTTTGTGTACTAACTTGTAAGGCATTCTGTCGGCATAGTGAGCTCTAGACAACTATTGTCTGACATACGTCTGAAAAGGATCTAAATAAACGTCCATCATGCTCCTTTGATAACATGTTATGCCGTAAACACAACTGTGCTACTCGTATAACCGGCAATGGACATGCTGCAAGTAGGTGCGACAACCCGAAGTAACGCAGAGGCACTGCCATGGTAACTAGTAGACTGCGTCACGGGAGGCACACGCGTCAGCCGAATTGGCCTCAGTGCATGCACGAGCCAAAAACCACGTGCCCTGCTGACGCCGACCAATTGAAAATGTCCGCACTTATGTCGAGACAGGTAGCAGACCGGACACTTACATTCGATCGGCCAAGGTGTCCGTAGAGTTGGGCACAGTTTAAACGCGACCATTTGCCCGAACGGACTTTACTAGACTTTTCTCTGAATGAATTCTGAACTGACGGAGGAGATTGATGAAAGGGGGGGCGAGCGTAAGCTTGTGTTTTCCTGGTCTTGTCTTATCCGTTTTGTTGCAAAATGTACAAATTGAGCCGCCGTAAGATAAGGCAAATCGAATTCGCACTCCAGAACATTTAATCATATTTTCAGTCCAAATTTAGAGTGTATTACATTTTACTGTGAAACTACAGATAACATGTTAAAGAAACCTACTGATTGAAAGTATAGTTAATAGTGCACGTCGTTCGCAAATGCAGTTTTTGTGGTTTTCAAACTGAGAATCCACTATCTGTCTTCGTAATTCACACATATGTGGGACTAAAAGTAGGATCCCTATCCTATGGTCTTTAAATTTTCTCAGAGTTCTAAATGCAGAGAGCTTTGCTTGAGGCATTTAATATTTGTCATTTGTCCACGGCAAATAGTTTTTGTCCTGCCGTTATATGCATGACTTTGACGGTCTATATTCTCTTCATTGTTGACGTCTGGGATAAAATGTGAAATTTCCAGCGACCCTTTTTACTTATTTACTGACTTCATTTTGGAGTAGATGTTGCCATTCTACACTCTTGGGAAAGATTGGGCGGCAAATTATCTAGAAATTGAGGTTCCGATGGTTGATGACATCAACTAAGGCGGAATTCACCGTCGCGATCTACCTAGCCACTGCCAGTAAGAACTTGCGACGGATTTTTTGTTAGAAAGCCTCTGGGATATAATAAAAGTTGTCACGATTGTGTTTAAAGGACAAGGCAATCGCGAGCACCTAAAAGAAGAGATTGACCTCGGATTAATGATTCAGTTTTCATCTGCATGCGTCGTTTACTCTTTCGACTACATTAGTAGGCTTTAAAAATAAATTGCTGTTATATGCTTATTAGCGAGCAGTCCAGTCGTACGCCAACGCCTTAAAATTTTCATATTTTGGTTAGATGGCCAAGTAATAAACTTATTGGATATAAGAAATGTCACTGGGCGTTATTTATCGCCTACAAATTCTTTTTTTTGTGGTCCCGAAGGTGGAGGAGGTGACGCTGCAGAGACCACCGAGGGCGGCGGTGACGGTGGTACCGGTGAGGCCGGTGGTCCTGGGAAGTCTCGAAAGGCCACTGGACTGCCATCAACAAGTGGCAAAACCTATTCAACAAAACCGCAGGACTTCCAGGTAACCCACATTTTTCCCAGTCAGAGTAATGTCCTTTGTCAATCCGGAGAAACCGGAATTGCGTCTCTGATTTTGTGCTGAAGAGCTCCAAAAAGAACATAAACTTTCACTCTTTAAAGAGCAGCTGACGTTGCAGAAACGAAGATAAGTGTAAGCGAGGTCTCGCTGAATCTACTTATACTTGACTCGTGCACAAGCACTGTGGCTTTTTGGCATCTAGACTTATATTTCGTAGATATTCCAAAGACATTTGCTGCACCGAATTGCAATGCACGATTTTATCGAAAATGGGGTTTAGTGGACTGAAAGACTTGTCTGACATGATACTTTCTCTTACTAACTGTCGGTTTTTGTGTCAAAGTAGGCCAAAATTGTCAACATTTGTCACATACCTAGCATTTTAAAATTTAAAAACACCTGCATTAGCGAAAAATTTGGAATTAAAATATGTACTGAAAAGGTCTGAGAAGTTTGATTCAGCATTCCTCAGCGAGTTGGGCTATTTACGGTTTCGCTGATATTTTACTCCGCGTACATGATCCAAGACTTGCTGAGTAGTAGCCATTTTGAGATTTCTTTTGAACTGCTATTTTACAGACAGCATTTGAGGTATGCTTGTCAAGAATTCGCTGTTGCTTTGCTTACGGAAGTAATTAACTAACTAGATGTAGCGGATGACTAACAGGCATGGCACCTAAGCCACAAAATGTTTTTAGCAGGCAGCTACCACTTTGCTCCTAATCACTACATTATATTGTCTCGGTGAAACTTTCGAATCTAAATTCGTTTTAATGGATTGAAAAAGACGGCAATGAGGATAAGCGTTTTGTAGACAGAATTCATCGAAGCCGTTCCGCACTCTTTCATTTGCTTGCGGTCAGATCGAAAATGACTCTCCTATTATTCCCTTCATCCCATCACGTTTGCCGTCTTCTCCCCGTAATCTATGCTTACCCACTTTTTTCACGACCTCTATTAGCCTGGCATATGGCCGCTTCAGTTGAAGAAAAGGGAAAATTAAAAGTATCTGGTGTCGAAAGAAGAAGGGATGAATGCCGGTGAATGCCTCTTCGTCCTTTGAAAAGATACCTTGGGACTGCATTTTTACTAATGCTGAAGTTTCTAGTAATGATCATTACTTCAGTACAGAAAGGAGATATGCTAAAGGGAAATGGGGTTATCGGGAATTTTGAGTTTAACTCTTGACTTCTCCATTTGGCAAATAATCTCTCGTCGAATGATATGGCTGGGACAGACATGTTTGGTGTTTTAGGGGGCATTGGCCAGGAAGGCCATAGTCAGAATTCCTACAGTGTGCCTGGAAGCACTAAGAGACGGGCCACGATGGGCCCTCTTTTCTTGTGAAAGAATGGATTTCAGGTCCATGGGAGCACAGATGGTAGTTTATTGTCGTAATCCAAAGGGTTGAAAGTGGAGCCGAGCGATCAGATGTGTCTGTGGGTCATCTTGATGCATACCGAGGTGGGCATGGCTACAAATACTGGCTCCGGTCATAGAAGTGTTCACTGGAACTCTTACTGGTCCCATCACTGATTTTGGGGTCAAAACCATTAATGTTTTACGCACCTGCGTGTATACGAAGCAAATGAGTCATATGAGTCTGCAGTTCATTTGCATTCCCTCAGGTGAGTCAAATAATCGGGCGTCTCGACTGTAATGGAGTGTTCCTTATGTAATCGCTGCATAACCACCTCAACCGCCACAGGCTCCTATCGGTACCATTTTGCCTCCTATTTCAGCAGACGCACAATCTGCCATTACGGTCTTAGAGATGATCAGCCTTATTCCATTCTTGCTCTGCCACAGGCAACGTAAGAAACTTGACCACCACCTGCATTCCTGCAACTTTTAGTTCGCGAACCCCCGTCTTAAGAGTCATTTTACCTGACGTTAGGGAGTTAGAGGTGAATCGTGAGTAGGCGGCGAAACCTCCAAGAAGGCTTATTCACCCCATCGTACTCTCACAATAGCTTCTACTCTAGTCCTACGAGGAGACCTATCTTTTCTTTTTGCACGCTCTCACATTTTTCATAGCCTTTGTGCATAAGTGTATTCATCTGGCACTGACCCTCGGATTATCACTGCGATTCATCACCTTGACTCATGTATTGGCAAACGTAAAAAGGACTGTTGCCACCAACTTTCAATGACTCACCTGACGTGTGATTATATGCCAAGTGGTACTCTTATAAGTTCGCTATACGAAGGATCGACTGACTCATAAAAGACCCCAGAATGTGGCCTCGACTCCAGCCTTAAGACTCTTGAACAGCTACTGCCTGTCTCCAGGGTCCTTTTCGAAGTACTATGAGTGACCAATCACAATTTGACCCAAAATATTCGCAATGAAAATTCATTGAGAGCAACGTTCTCATCCAGGAGTAGCTGGATTGCATACGAACTCGTACTTTTGATTAAAATGACCAACTAGTTTCATTACGCTTCCTAATTAAAGCTTACTTATTTTCTTATATGCGCTAAAAAAATTAATGACAGTTTCTACTCTTAAAACTAGCCTTTTCAAATGAAATGTTTGCGTTTTCCTGCTTATCTGATCAGTAAGGAGCACCTCATTTAATAGGAGGCGACGATTCTCTTATCTCTTATTTCCTGTGACTGGCAGTTATTCATATTCCTTCGGGTCTCTAGAGTGTCCTTTGCTCCAGTGAGCAGATTTGCCTCCCTGCTCGTACTACGGGCAATTCGACCATCGGTTAGCTTTACCCAGACCTTCAAGCTATTCTAACGCAACGGTAAGGTGAAAAATCCCACTTAGCTGTCGCCAGACTCTGGATCGTGTCATATGGCAATGGTGGTAAAAGAGATTTTATGTGTACAGCAGCAAGCCGGACAATAAGCTGGCGAAATACAGAAAACAGAAATTGTTTGGACTTCTGTCGAAAGTTTTATCGTACACTTCCTCTGGCAACGGAAATGAGCGTATTAATGAAAAATGAACAGAAAGCAAGTTTCAAAAAAGTAACGGAGTGTAAGTAATGGCTTGCGATCATGGGAAGTAGTTGTTGTTGGCAGTGTACTTTTTCCAACGGTCTGCAAGTGGATGCCAAGATGAAACCTCATGACTCGACCCATAGACTGCCGACAGTTAAGTGGGGTCCTTCCATCTACCGTTGCCTATTCTAGCATAAGAGTTCGCATCACAGCCCGACTTAAGCGAACAGTTCATGACGTTTGACTCTCAAGAGAAGGAAGAATACCTCGGAGACATTAATTGCCTGTGTCTGAGTTGACCCGATAACGTCACCTTCCCCTATTTTCAAGAGTATTGAAGACACCGTGGTTTGTCTTTCTTGAGGAAGGAAAGAAGCAAAGGAAATTGGGCGCGAATGTCTTAATACACGATAATGGGTGATCTACACTGTGGGTAGTACATTACAGCGCCTGAAATGAGTAGCAATGTTGGGAGCGCTGAAAGGAAAGCACAATGTTTCAAACTGAAGGCTAGTTTTTCATGAATAACTGGGCCTTCCGGAGAACAAAAGGTTCAAGACTACTAAAAGTCTGACTTATCTGATGTTAAAAGCGGACTGGTCCGAATGAATGCCCCTGTCTTACACACTTATTTAAAGAAAAGCACGAGGATTAACTTATCCTAATTTCTAACTGCCGCATTGCGGTCAGGGATGTCTGACGGCCTAGTTAGTAAGTTCAGGTTTAGACCTATCTGTAAGATCAGGCTTGCATTGTTACCTCGTTTTGCTTTTGAGGTTCGCTGTTTGCAAGCTGGGTGAACCTCATTAACATCCGACTTCCTCTCTGTTATACGCTCAGGGGCAACATGATCAACATACCGGCTCTTAGTTCTCTGTTCAAACACCCACCGTCGACAAAAGAGATTGACAAAAAAATCAGATCCTGCTCTGCTTATACCACTTAAAATCGCCTAAATGACTGTTTTGAACCGTCACAGGCTGTGTACACGGCATCCGCCTGGTTTTGGCTCGACTTTTGTCAGCTTCAGCGTAATCAACCTATAAGTATCGTCAGGGGATACAGCCCTGTTTCCAAATACACGATTCTGACCTACATACTGACTTCATCGCAAGTGCCTTAGGGGGTGCACTTGTTATTGTGTTCAAAGCGTCCCCTCTCCCCCGCCCGCCCACTCTCACCTAGTCATGCATGTAAGTCTGCTGCACCACACAGCTCAGACCCACTGCAAGGACAAGTCATCGACCTCTCGTGTTTGCCTTCGCGTACGCGTACGTCAGCGTACCATCTAGGACCTACGCACTACGTCCTAGCTTGTCCACAACCAGTTATCAATACCTCTCCCATCTCCAACAGGTGACTCGGTAGAGGAAGGTAGCAACTTCATACAGCCTTCAGGAAGGGCTCCAGACGGCAGCTTTAGGTAGCAAATGCGCTTGGCTGTGGCTCCGGATTCATTTAGGGATTGTGTATATATGTGCAAACAAGTCCTCTGATAACATATCGATACGGTTTTCTTCTGTTCTTTCCCGCTCTGCTCTTAGGCCTTTGTACAACGCCTGTAAATGTGGTGGTTTTTTGACGTCCTTATTAGCATTTGTTGAAAACTTATTTGAGCGCATGTCACAAACAGGATCTGATTCTACAGAATCCGATTTACCTATGGTACGCAAAAGAGGTAGAGGTGCGTTGCTTCTCAAAAGAACGGTTTTTTAAAAATCTTGATGAATGGTATTTGACCATTTATTGCAAGACGTTAGGCTTATGCATTATATACTCATGCGAAACTGGTTGGTGTCCTTAATGAATGCCTAATACTTATGGGAATAAACAAGATAAAAGAGGTTAAAATAGAGAAGTGTTGCCAGAAGGCCACAGTGTAAAGTCCTTATTCCGCCGGTAGCCTGTTCGGATCGCCAAATAGCCCACCTTATTTCGAAGACTACAAGGCACAACAATTAACTTTGCTTCACCTGCAAATGTTATTAATCAGCAGAAATTAAAATGATTATTTTGGAATGAGTGTAAAATTATCCTTCTTGCGCATGTTGCTTTTAAAATTACCCTTTTTTGAAAGAAGTGAACAAGAGGACAAATTGGTTGTGCGTCCGCCAATGTATATACCTCATTCTATTTAAACCGATTCTAACGTACAAAACACAATTCTACTTAACACGTCTGATTCCAGTCTCATCACAAAGCCGATCCTCTCATTCGGGATCTGCCTCAGCTAGTTGCAATCTTCTCCTTCGTCACGAGTTGGTCTTATCTTCTCTTCCCCTCTAACCATATGACTATTGTTTTCGCTCTATAATCAAAGAATTCAACCATCAATTGTTTATGGATGCGCTTCAACAAATAAATCTTACTTGATTCCTGGCCGTCAGATAGGCAATAAACATTCGCTGATTCTGGAAATGCTGCGGACGAACTTGGGCCTCTGGAATAGAAGTTGTTCCCTTAACTTCTGTTGTCGGTCAGATACCGGCTCACACCAGGCTTCGATGCAGATCTAGTGGGCCGCGGATAATCTAAATCAAGCGCACTTATCAATTGAACCATTTAACTCACCTCTTGGCAGTTGTGATTTGCCCAATAAATTACAGAACTGATCTACATTTTGTCCTGCAAATAGGATAGACCGGTGTACGCCATTCCCCTATGGCAAGCTAATTATACCAATTGTTGAGACTAAATACGTAAAAGTGGATTTAATTTCAGGCCACAGCCAGTTTGTGATATTCTGAGATAATTGGGAAAACTGACCAGTCAGTATGCTTTCAAATGAATCCCCGGTTCTTTTTGATAAACAGGCGCCATACTGCGGCGCTTTCTCGTGACACCTTCGGAAAGTGTCGAATGAATGCTCGTAGTTTTGCAAAAAACGAGGATTCTACTGTTTCATAAAAGCAGGCTGATCCGACTCGTTTTTTTCTGAATTTTTGCGTCTATTGGCAACTCTGCATCCTTCATCGGTTTTTTCCTACCCTCGCCTTTAGGTTAGAGTTCGCGTACAGGAGGCCCGGCAGCTCACTGGATCCAACATTTCACCCCTGTGCAAAGTCAGCTGTGCTAACCAGACTCAAGTCACGTCTGTAAAGACATCCACAAATGCCCCCTTTTGGGGTCAGACGTTCTTCTTTAACTTCCATCAATCGCCAGCCAAGCTTTTCGAGGAGACCCTCTGCTTCGGGGTCTACAATTCACGGAAGATGCGTTCAGATGCCCATATCGGTACTTTTGAACTCGATCTGGCAGCAGTCTATGAGAGCCCAAATCACTCAATCATGCACAAATGGCTCTTGCTGGGAGAACCCGAGGATCCACTTGCAGGAGCGAAGGGTTACCTCAAGGTTGCTATGGTTATCCTGGGTCCAGGCGATGAGGCACCCGTGAGTTAACAGACATTCCTGTTGCATATATTTGACTTTCTAAGATGGGCATGTCACGGAAAACACAATCGTTAGGATGCGGGATATATAACGTTTCTAAGTGGAGAAAATTCTGAGACAATCATCTTTTGTAAAACATTTGTTTGAAACAAGCATGTGGATTAACGTTGCCTATATCTTAAACACTTTACTGCAAATGTATATCCGTTTCTGGAATCCTTTTATCCCGTAAACGACTGTTTCGAAAATTTTCATCTATAAACTGAGTTTTCATTGCTAGAATTAAGAAGTAGATGATGTTGAGCACAGGCTGCGATGTTGTGAAAAGCATTTACGGAAAGTGATTGTGAATAAAAGTGTACACGTATCCAGTTTTGATTAATTTTGTCACCATCCTTGCGACCATTCTTCATCCACCCATATTCCTCTCCATCTCTAGAGTCTTAAGCCGAAGGAGGACTCTGAGGATGAAGATATTGAAGCGTAAGCCACACTACAAATTCCGAACTAACTGATCAACAATTTTCCCAGCTGTTTTAATTGATAGTGTAGATGTAAAGTTGAGATGTTTGCCTTTGGATAATGGACCTTGGGGCAGAAAGATGTTACTACGTTTCCATACCCACGAAAATATAAGACACCTCTGTACTTATTAAAGTGCGATGTAACCAAATGAGCAATAACTTTGTATCTGATCTCTATGGGTCATAAACTGCCTTTAAAGACCGACGAATGTTTGAACGATCCATGTTATATTAACGCCTGACTAAATGACTGAAATACAGGTACGATGGCGCGGACTTTAGTATAAAGCGAACTTCCTCGGATCAATTTCTGCGGACGCCCTATATTAGGTTTCCAAATGAATTATGAAATAAAACATTCTACTTCAGGTTAGCTCTAAAAGCTAGAAGCTAGCCTTTGTTCGTTCAACTTGGGGTTAAGAGACGGGGCTTTTTTGCCAGTATGTTGTATTGGTATTCCTACACTATCTTCCCAGTTGTTCACTGCAAAGATATTCGTTGCATTAAATTTGGAAATATTTCATTAAACCCCAGAAACATTCTTCGGCCCGCTGGCGTTCAACTGCGACCCGCCGTCTTTCATTTCTCATTGTTCAACGGAGAAGACTATCCAAGAAGTGCGTCTCGGCAGCCTTTCTTTGAAATGACTTTGGTAGCACCCTATCTCACATGTATTTTCAATAGGACTGTGTGCGTATCTTCACAACATCTCAAACTTTGAACCCACCGCATCAAAAGTACATATTATATAGAACTGCGGCGGGCTATGCGCGTCTGATCACTGAAATTATTTATATCTCTACTCTTACTTAGAAATCGTTACTCAGTTGCATTATATTTTTTCCACACTATTTTACCCATGACGTACACATTCTATGTTATATTCCGTGTGTAGCTAACAGGTAGCGGCAAAAAGGTCCTCCATGTCTAGATATATCGCATAGTTTTTACAGGCCGTTCATTCGCCCAATGGCATCGCCGACGAGGACTAGCCAGAGCAGCATGCAATCCATGAAAGGGCGGTGGCCAAAATCTAAGAGGGCTTGTGAGGTTTGGTGACCAAATTAGCAGTTGTAAATAGCAACCAGTGTAAAAGAGGAAAACAAAGCACATGCCAATTCATGTTGAGCTCCTCATCTTTGTGTCCATGCCACCCACGCAGTTTGGTAGCTTTGGTTGTTAAATGAAATTATGTCAGTTCGCGCGAAGGCCTTTTCCCATTCGCGTAAAATGCGACAAGTCAATAAGGTCTGGCAAATGCCTTTGCTAATCTGCGCATCTAAGCGCACGTTGAATGAGGCAAAACGGTCCTGCTACAGGATGGTTATGCAACCATCCACTTCGGAGTACATTCTCTGTTCGGCCAATCTTGCATATAGTTTTCAACTTTTATTCCCCTACCTAAGTGCACTTAACAGCATTTGATATGACCATGGTCAGGCCAGATGTATATCTGACCGAAAGGCATGCAATAGTGCGAGGTGTCCTAGAATGGAAAAATCTTCTGGAGCGGTTTCAAGATTGATTAATCCCGATTTGCTTTGTGTAGGGTAGCATGCTGCCTGTGTCTGTGAAGCAGTTCAGCTCTATCACCAAACTAAACTCGAAAGGGGTTTTGCATGAACGATGTGTATTGTTTCAATAAAGTTCCCGTATCTACGTAAATTCCATCATAGGAACAAGATCTGAATTGCACTTATTTTAGAATTTGGTGTTTGACGAGAGTTTTTCCGGTTTTACCAAAGTGTATTAATTCATACGTATTACGAGACACTATCTACAATTTTACTTCGTCACTGAGTCTCAAAAGTACACTCTACTAACTATACTTAAACAATTCCAGATATTCGCGTTGAACGCTCCATTGAAGACGTCCTCCAAAGTACACCACTAGTGTACATGTGATCGCTTCAGCCACTAGGCCCTTGCCTAGAAACTACCTCGCTTTCCACGACCAATCAGCCTGCTGTCTTTATACTGGGTCGGCTATAGCTGCACCGTAATAAGCTGAAGTCAATTTCTAAGGGATTCAATTTACTTTCAAAACAAATATTTATGAACCCCATTTTCTCATGTATTCTTCCACAGAAAGACCGATGGCCCCTGTGCACCTCGGCTTATCGCGAATAAACATGCCCCGGGCGTCATCTCACATCAAGAAAGTAACCAGCACATCTGTTGAGAACGAAGATAACAACAGTTTACAAGACGTAACGAAAAATATTTACTCCCACGAGGAAAGTTACCAAAAAGAAATAAAATACCATTCGAAATTACTCCCCCAAAGAAGGTACCTTGTGCGCTGATGCGCTAGAAGGCAAAACCCAAGCGAAAGGGTGCTTCGAACACTACGGGAGTTCCCATGCCAAAACCAACCACGTGTCCGTGTCCGTTAAAAGACAACTAAAAACTATCTGACACAGATAATCCAAAATCCATCAAACAGATTTTGCACCCCGGTTTCTACTGGGTTGGTCATTTCGATAGAACAGTGGTCGTTCATCCAGCTAAATATGTCATTTCCGGTGCAGTATATCGTACCAAAACCGAGAAAGCCGCTTCCACCAGTGTATTTGAACATCCGTTAGTGATAAGGAAACGATGACATCCATTCTAACTTGTCTTATGCGCATTGAACTCGCGAAACCTAAGCGGCAAAAACCCACATCGTTAGCGTTTGCCCAACAATGAAAAACGCGAAGGCCTGGAGACAATGCACTCAGATGAGACATGAATCAGTTGATAGGCTGTTTTCGGTGTCCTATTAAAAACCCTAGGAGGCAAAAATGGACAATCTCAGCCAACTCCGAACTAATGACGAGATACAATAAATGCGTATTAGCACATGCTCAAACCGACCCCAGAATTTTTGTCCTGCATGATTAAAAAGCTAGCTGTTTATCTACGCTTCCCATACATTCGTCAATAACCCGCCCAGCCGGTCCTGAACATTTAATTGAGAAACATTTTCAACTAGGAAAGTGCTTGAACCATTTCTCATCTAGGCATATATTACTTTTGGTTTCCTGCAAACAACAGTCATTAAAGTTAGATGCCAAGTGCCTTTCCCTTTTCTGGAAAGATGTGTATTTCTCAAGAGCACCAAGTAAGGACAAATCTTCACGAAACATCCGTTCTGTTTGTAGTTACTGTTGTTCTGGGTTAATTGCTCCAACTGCTTGAAACACAGAAAACCAGACAAACGTCTTCTGCTTTACCTCTACTGATAATTTGATGGCAGAACTCACTCACACACGAAGACAGCCGCTTTATTAAAGGAGTTAGTTTGAGCAAAGAGACTCTGCAGCCAAACCTTATCAAAAACACTGAATCTTGAGTGAGTCATTCAAAACTTGTAACCGACATCAAGACGGCACCATTTTCTGAGCCGCAGGACGTTGCCAACGTCCCTCCACCGCTGCTGTTGCCGAGAGCAAATTGGCAGCGAGCCTGCATGTGCCAGTATGCTTGCAACCAGGCCACTAAGGTTCACAAGCACATGCATGCACAGTCCTAGCGTCACCCACACCATGCCCCCACCTGTTGGTGTTTCACAACGCGAAAGTTGCTCTCTTAATCCTGGCATCTACTTGAGTTCCTACGGGCAAGTGACGAGGGTGGAGTGAAGAACACCGTTAGTGAGATCTGAATTCTCATGGCCATTAAGACGCACAAAGAGAGTTGTGTAGTTCCATTACTGCAGTACACGCATTGTTTGGAGCTGGCAAAGGGACGTTTCGGAATCGGTATCGTCTAATTCCTCAAGTGGTCGAAGTGCCGACAAGCAGAGCTGTCCTTTTTGATCGTGCTCGTCAATTCCAGGTGCAGTACAAGTCCAAAAAGCTCACTCTGAGGAAGGCAGTATTGAATGTATTTATTGCAGCTTTCAAGTTTCCTTAGAAATTAATCGCTACGTTTGAGTAACCCAGTCTATTTGAGACTTATAGGTTCAGACTGGATTTTAATATGATGACGCGAAGTCGAAGAAGAAACTGTACATTAAAAGGTACGAATGTAAAACCGGAAAATTAAACGACAAGTAGTAGTCTCCAGAATTCCGATCAAGATACAACACTGCTGATGCCGTATGGCGTAAGGCACCTTCCATAGTGAGTACATTGTGGGGACTCGAAACAATCCACGAAGTGTTAGGACTCTTGGAGTCTAACCACGCTTGAATAGGCGTCAACTTAAGTGCGAGAAATATATTCGTTGGATTACATTATTCTAGATCTTCTAATAGGGACTTCTAATTTTTACGGCAGATCTCAGTGATATTTTAAATATAACCAATGCTTTTGAATACAGAATGGCAAAAGCACCAAATTTCAAGCAACCCATTTATAACACAGTTCGAGGTTTATATGTTCATAAATTTCGGTCGAACCTGTGCAAATGTACAGTAAGTATTTTGTAAAAGTGTGTCAGTGCAAAACGGCATTAAAGTAGTAAGTTTCGTGCAGGCAGTTTAGAAATCAATTAACAAGGTAGAAACGATTAAAGATAATAGTTCATTGCATTAGGCTAACTGCAGGCGGGGTTCCTGCGTTAAATTACACACAGATATTCGGAAAATTAACTATGGCCACAGAACTAGGACAGTTAACACAAAATTTATTTAAGAAGAAAACCCGATCTCACCTTAACTCAGATTGGCAGGCACTGTCGTAAGGACTTCGTTCACTTTTTCACTATTCTGTAGACTACCCAGAATGTTCTCTTTGTATCTACGCTGGCTAGAATCCAATACGTTCGCGAAGTTCTAGTTGTTGGCGTTTTGTATTCTTTACCCAAGCAATAGACTTTTCCTTAACTCTCTGCACGCAAAGAGCTTGTGATTCCATTTTGTAAACTTTCGTCCATCTGTGAACTTGATACATGATTTTACAGGCCTACCAAGAAGGTCAAGGAGGAATTTCTACTGAACTGTGCTTCAGGAAAATAAAAATTGAACCGAAAAGTTTTTTATCGAGGATATTCCACAGATTTTATGGCAGTCCGTAGTCTGTCTTTATACTGGGTGCATCACAGATACTACAATCATTCCCCCGTTTTCATAACAGAGTTTATTAGTAAATGCCTCACTATATAGTCATACCAATCCACGAACACGCAGACATTTTCGACACGGACAAGAAACTAAATTCGAGGTTGCCTATTTTCGAGGATTCTGTTACGAGGTTTGAAAACGTTTGTTAGACATTTCAAGACACACGCATGGAAAATGAATACTCATGCGCGAGCAAAATTGTTTCCTTCGATGGAAATGAAATAAAAAATAAATTTCGAAAGTAATAATTAAGGAGGCAAGTTAATGTTCTTTCACATTTTCAGGCTGTTAAAGTGTATAACCGCAGTGATCTTTAATAAAAAATGCGAGTACCCTGTATTTTTGATCAGTGTGTAGCTTGCAGATTCTTTAAGAATGCCGCTTTCAAAATCACAGTATATGGCGGTTAATCAACCGATCAAATTTTTAGGAGTAATCATCGCATTTCCACCTTGCGATCATACCAGCTATTTGTATAGCTCTTGTTGTTTTATTTCCTCATTTGCGGTGTAAGAAGAAAGCTTTTGTTAACGGATATTTTCCTCCATCAGCCTCCGCCGTAAAGGCTGCTTTTACCGATAATGCTTTTCTCTTACATAGAAGGGTTTGTTTTCACCAAAGCGCTCGTCAGGGTGCATACCTTTATCAAACTACACAAAGAGATTAACTGGGACAGCGAATGTTTGCACTGCGGTTCCAGTCACCCTGCTTTGGTTATCATCCAATCATTTTAAATCTGGCCAAACCTGAACCAGTGCGATGTTTGATTTCCTGCGAAAGCTATGAAATTGCTACTGTTCCTATTTGTAGTGGACACAGATGCATTTTCTGGTGTAAAAAAATTCTTCGGATCCGATGAAGACAAAGAATTTGTCGATCCATTCACCGTCGTTCAGTTCGCAGGGAAAGAGGTTCGTATGTCCCATTTGTGTGCTGCATAAATATCAAATTATCATCCACTTGAGGCTAAAGCTAACAACAACTAACCTTGGGACCTTTTATCTGCAGATAAAATCTTCAGTGAAAAAGGGAACAGATCATCCAGAATGGTACGAGGAAATGAAACTTGCTGTGCAGGTAATTATTTGAGAAAACGCAAGACCATTTTTAACCGCAAGTACTTTAAGCAGGTTATACTTGCAATATATTTCCTTGTTAATTCTCAGAGTACACTACTCTTTTGTAAGTCTTTGTTTGCATATAAAAGTGAAGAACGACTTTTAAGTGAAGGCAGTTGAACACAAGATGTTATTGTCGCAACTGGTGTTAATCGGCTGTACTTAGACTCAGCGTGGACTAGTGTAAGGGAGGAGAAATTAGATTGGGAATTTATGCGATCAAGCTTATTCACCAAAACCAGCTTTTTGTAATACTTGCGGAACTGTCGACTTTCTTTAGGCGAATGCAATAAAACCAGGAGGATGACTTTTAAACGCCTTGTCTTCTTTTTCTTTCAGTTTCCATCAATGTGCGACAAACTTGTCATTACTGTTTATGACTGGTAAGTTTCACGGAGCTTAGCTTTACGCAGACCCCCTTTGCCCTCAGTCTTTTTTCCATGCATGCAGATTATGGAGAGCAAAACAATCGGAAACGAGAGCACCTTTCTGGCAATACTGCCTCGAAATTTATTTTGTCATAGATACTTCGCTTCTTGTTTTTTTTCAATCGTACTTTGGTCTTCTACTACAGAAGGCAGCAAAGAATAAGTGCCGTTTTCGTAAGAAAAGAACAAAAAAGCAAACTACAGACAACATGTATCATGATTTTTAAAAAGATGCATTAAGTACTGACGTCCATAGTAATGGAAGTCAGTGACATGAATTTGTGGGCTTCTGCTCAGTATGTGCGTTTGGTTTGAAGCTAAACTGATAACTATAAGAAGGAGGCTGGCGAGAAACCGCTGGTTGCCCTAACCTCCTAAAATCTCTAGACGGGCACTTAAGCCCCACTTATCCGACCAAGTACCTAAAATGTAAAGTTTGACCTTGCATATGGGACTCTCATATTGTTATTAAATCAACAAGGAATTTTGGAGTGACCTGTGAGCGCGGATATGAGAGGAGTAATAAATCGCAGCAAAGTTTTTATCAATTCCACGTTGACCGATTATAGGAGATTTGAAGTGGCTGTCAAACAACAGAATTACTGGAAAGAAGTTTTTCATACCGCAAACTTGGCATGGAAAAGATATGTCTTCAAGTGGCCAGATGATAACGTTTGAGCTGATTTCTGTGCGTCTAACGGCACGGCTCGGCTCTACTAACAGCGTAAAGAATTCCATGCCTATGTAACGCCCAGGAACATACGTACCACAAGATCCTCTTTGGTCTTCGTTGCGCGTGACATTTAGGATTAAGGTCCAGCAACTTTTATGCACTTACTTTGTAATGTCCATTATAGCCTCTCTGTTAACGTCTAATACAGGGACAAAGTATCGAAAAATGACCCCGTTGGAACAGCATACATCAACATCAATGACATTTCCGCACTTCGAGAAGGCGAAGACGGTTAGTTCCCACAACCGCTATTTTGAGCGTCGTTGCGTCATCAAGCCTAACCAGACTCATCGTTTATTCTGCACAGAGACCTTTCACACCGCAATCATATTAACCATGTCTAATACACCTGCGTTTGCCAGCTCTGATCAGCACTAACGTATTGCCGAAGATCCATTTGAGCGCAAAATCCTTCCTGTTTACTCTATTGCACCCTTACAAACTACTTTTTCGTCCGTTGAGAAGGGAGTATTTCTAAGTACAAACGTCAGTCGCCGGAAGGACTGAATTCAGGATTGGTGTTGATGCCCATTGCACTGAACGTACCTGTAGACTGACTAGATTCTGTCAACATCGCATTGGATTACGCGAAAGACGTTAATTTGGGTTAAGAGATTTCCCAAGTAACATTTAATTCCTTGTAATACAGGGACAAAGCAACATCGGATGACCCCATTGGAAGGCATTACCTAAAACTGAATGAGATCGCCTTCCAAGGAGAAGTTTCTGGTAGGAGGATGCAATTTAGGAATGGGGTTGATCATGTTCGGAAAAAAATATTTTGTGCTTTTAAACTTCGTACACCCCAATGCATGCGCGCATCATTGCTTCTGAATGCACTATCTCTGCACGTACACTGCTGTCAGTGTTTGCATGCTAAACACATCAACTTTTAAATCGCACGCTCTCATGCTTTGAATGGTACGTTATTTTTGGAATAAAAAATTGCAATTTATTTGAAAGGTCTGCAGACTAGTACCTGCTATACTTAGACCGAAATATCGAAGGCTGCAAATTAATGGGCCACGACAAGATTGGTCTCATTAGTTTTCCCTGTGAAAAACAGCTTTAAGCCAACTCTAAACAAGCATCTCTCCCGGGATCGTGACCTCATCCAGTGAACCCGTGGCATTCAACGAAATTCTCCGGTTCACATGATTAAACTTATAATCGCACATACCCCGCTCGGAATGTGAGCAGCATCTTCACAAAGGCTAGAAAAAGGTTAGAACTCAATGCCATCTGCGAAATCTCGGGCCATCGTATAGTGTTGCCCACAAAGACGGATGAAAATTGGATTCCCTTTCCGGCTTAGTTACCGTTATCATTCACTACTTTCCAACCTCTAGGACCGGGATACCTGTGAATTGGTCCCCATTGACTTGCCAGTTAAATATTCGGGGCAGACGATCTATGCTCTGGGCATCTAGTCACCTCCTATCGGCCTCTGACGGCAACCACGTCATGAATTAACATTCCGCGTTGTTTTTTATTGGCCGGCGACAACTCAGATAGTGATTGCTGGTTACCATACCGTATCTTGCAAGAAGCCTAGATCCCTAATTCCAAAAGAAACCAGTAATATTGATTTGCACTCGGCAATTAGGATGGGCCGACAAAGACTAGGGTCCTGCCGAAGGTATAGGAAAACTCAATGGAACTCTCCTAAAAGTGTTAACCCTTTGAGCAGTGTTCGACAGAAGTCACGTTTCGATGTGGGTTCATTTTGTGTATCGGAACGAATGATACATTTGGGTCTATTACGCGTGTGTGCTGGTTTCAGATTCTAAAACATCTTATCTGACTGTCCAGTAGCTGGGCGTAGAACAAAACATAATTGCAAAGCACACGCTGCTTTTATTGATCTTACTACGGCCAGTATATTAGCATGACAAATGTGCATAACTCCGGTAGCCTTATTATTGGTATAAACGTCATAGAGTTTGCAATGGGTAGGTTGTTTTGATAAGGAGCAGACAAGAAGCGTAGGCCCTCATGGCGCATTAAGGTTGAATTTTCAAAGTCTGAATCTGATAGATTAATTACGATAGGTCCAATGGATTGCGTCCGTAGTATAAATCCTTTTTCGAACTGTTATAATTTTGTTTTGATGGTATGGGCTTAGATAATTCCTTTGAGCAGACCGCCTTTTTGAGATGAGTGTATGCGAACAAGTGATTCCCATTCTGTAAATCCTTCGGAAATCCGGAAGAGTCTTCGAATCCAGCATGCCCAAATGATCGTTTTTTCATAAAAGGATCTGAGAAGCTTCATTTAGACAGAAACGATTTGACTAAAGGCTACTCATTACTCCCCGATACTTCAGGCTATCTGCCAACGTTTGGTCCAACATTTGTCAACTTATACGGGTCCCCACGCGAGTTTTCGGCTCTCGGCGACAAGTACGAGGCATTGAATCTCGGAAAAGGTGAAGGCGCTGCCTATCGAGGCCGGGTTTTCTGCGAATTATCTACTCAGCTCACGGATGAACCCCAAGAAAGCGGAATCGTTCCAATTAGCGATGATAACAAACAGCGCGTGCAGGTAATTTTACCGACCGTACATACTGTATAGTGATTAGATAGTGCGCATTTTACAAACGAAGGCACTTATATACAGACTTTTTAAAATAATCCCAATTGTTAACAGCAAAAACTAGAAGCATAAATGTTTCCACACAGTTTTACTACTGATCTAAACATCTTCGAATTATATTGCTCAAAGACAAAAATTCGTGACAGGCTATCATCATGTGTTTTTCCGATCCCAGAAATTCATGAGACGCCGGAAGTTTATGCTGCACGCAGCCTTCTATCAGGCCAATATGGTAGACGTTACCGACGCCCCCGTCTCCTTCGAAGTAAGCATCGGCAACTTTGGTAACAACCTGGACGAGACTATCGGACCATCTGCTTCAACCACACACCCAACTAATGCAGTTTTTGATGGCTGCTACTACAACTTCTTGCCATGGGGGGACTCCAAGCCCTGCGTCATGGTTGATTCGCAGTGGGAAGATATTTCTTACCGACTATACGCAGTGAATATGCTTTCACGCATTTACGACGATCTGGTAAGACTTGATGAGCGTGCTTTTTCTATGAGACTTCACAAGCGTCGCTGGTCCTCGTGAATGCTTTTTATGACAAGGCCATAAATAACGTTCCGTTAATGTGTCTACTTTTTAACTAAAAGTACGCATTTATTCTAACTTTAATGTTTAACTTTTCTGATATAGGAATACGGCATAGAAGGCATTGAGATGAGCCTGAAAGTGGATATGGAAGAGCAAGACCTCGCAAATACCGTCATTACCTGTCTCGACGAGTTGATTCTAAACTGCTCGTACGTCAGAGTATTGTATTTAACCTTTCTGAAGTCTTTCTCTTCCTCTCAGCCACGTTTTTAAAGTTATTTCTCCATAGCTTCTTGTAATGTATGTCCCACGCACCGACTAAGGGTGATGCTTGAGCGCTTATTACTGAAAGTAGTCCGAGAAAAAGCGGTAATAGTTATGAAAAGGACGATAAAGGTGACTATAATAATAATGGTGTTGGGGGCGGTAGCGGTGATGGTCGTCGTCGTGGTGATGATGATTCTGTCAGACGCCAATTACTCTGGAGGTTTTATCTTATACCTTCTGCACACAACTCATACCAGACCTAAGCTTATAAGTTGCAATACGGCGTATTTTGACGCTCAAGTATACAAGTGACTTTGGCCATGTGGAAGACTGCCGACCAGTGCTGATGTCCAGTTGTTTTGGTCGCTTCGGTGATGCTTCCTGGCAAACAGCAGCTTGCGTTAGGTGCCCCAGACGCCATATTAAACTTTTATCGCCTCAGCATCCTCTGGCGTCCATTTTATAGGCAGCTGGAAATTGAAAGCTTCCGGTTCGCAGTTTATTAACTCTGGTTGCTTGTAAGTGCGGTATTCAACATTGCCTTTCTCACTTTGGAACGTCGGTATTGCCAACATTCGAATCTGTCAGCAGAATTGATATTTCTTTTCCCTGCATGGTGCAATTAACCGTGCATTGAAGCAGTCAGCTACAGGCAAAGGATGAGGTGTTGTACTCTTGTACTCCTTGTGGAATATTGTTGTTTCTGTGTGTATACCTGCAAATTTTGATTGGAAACTGTCTCGCACTTTATCCTCTCTGCTTCATCTCAGGACAAAACTGCCTGAATGGCATGAGGCCTGCACACCAATCAACGAACTGGACAAGAATATTCAACGCCTTCGGGAGGATGACATTAAGTCCATTGTGGAGCAGGCAACCAAACTGAGAGAGGAGGCTACCACGGTGGAGGAGGTCATTCCTGAGCTAAAGCGCTATCTTGCTATGATCAAGAAACTAATAACTGAGGTAAATTGAATGAAAGCACAACTTTGACTGAGTCTACTCCTACGCCGCTGAATATATTGCATCTTAGAACACCCGATAGAAATAGTCTGGGTTGACATGTAGTGAGCGTTCAACCCCTAATCCATCTACAATTTTGAGCAAATATTTCTCGACCCGATAAGGTCAGACCAGGTTAGATGGTAGCTGCGTACAACGCGCGTCCTGCTACTGAACTTACTCACCTTGGGCTGCACAGCCTTCATGAGATTGTAAGCAGTGCGTACAACTGGTGTGGGTTTTGTACTCTTTCTCGCCTCATCTTCTTTTAACCCCGTCCGGCCTCCTGCAGCTGCTTTTCTTCCGGTTGGGAAGTTCCTTTTTGTTTTACTTTTAGTTGTCCTGTTTACTTGACCCACGGTACCAGCAAGTCCTAACCTGCACGCGAATTGTGATCGGGAGAATTTCGTTGCTAGTAGATATGCCATACATATTAGATATGTCTAGCTCCAACTCAAGTTTGCTGTGGGAAATCACTGAAAAATTATTAAGCTAGTGGAATAGGGTATGAATGTTTTAATGAGCAGAGTGCTGACCAAACTGTATTAAGGAGGGACATATAACGCTTAAGATGACGTGGTCAGCACGCCACTGTTATGATGCTACTCCTGCATTATTGGGCTCGGCCAAATAATGACAAATGAGAAGTGTCGAGAATGGTGCATTGCCCTTGAGAATCAACTACGTGCTGACGTCTTTCTGCTAGACTAAAGTTTATCAATTTGCAGCCAACCATTTATAACAAAACAAACAGACTGATCGAAGCTAACTCAAGTTCATTGGCGAACAGGAAAACGTGTCGAGCACCCCAAAGATATGTGGACGCACGTTGCTTGTGTCTATGTAGTTCCACTTTAGTCATAGCTTATTTTCTTTCTGTTTCATTTTCCCAAATATTAAAACGCAGATCGATAGGATCCGACGTTAGAGAATATCTTGTCCACTATGTTTTATTCTTCTTTGATGTGCACTTATTTGATTAGCTTCCTACTACAAGAGGCTCTTTTTAGGGGAGTAAGTGCAGTAAGCCTAAGATTTTGCCTTGTGACCGCTTAAAATTTCAGGCACTATGTAGAGATAGGGAAAAGTTTTAGTTTGTGCTTATTTCCCGTTAATAGCTTGGGTAGCTTAGTTACTCGAAAGGAGTAGACATGAGTGGGTTACCTATGCGATTTCTTGTACATTTGCTGGAATGTTCTGCAGGCTTCCTCAGAAGTGTTTAACAGTCATGAATGAACCTGTCAGGCAATTGAAAATATTAGTAGTTTTAAAAATTGCAATCTTTTCCACGGCAAACTATGAAGGACAGGAAACTATCACGGTTGGCAATTGTGTGTTGTGAGAGGCATTCAAACAACCGACGTCCCGTTCTACCCCGGGCCCTCTACCGCTGAAGTAGGGGTGATACCCTTCCATACCATGTTTGCGCCCTATTTTTATGGTACGCCAGTGGCAATTTTATACAAGTAAGAAATCGTGGCTTATGGTGATAGAGGGGCGATCACCGACCACCTTACGGAACTCACTCATCCCGCTGTGTCTTGGGGCCCTCTCTCCCTCGAGCGCCGCCAGCAGCAGCCGCACAGAGACGTTAGGCTTCTAACCAACAGGTCGGGGGATCGAGCCCCAGCTGCTGCATACCTCGAGGTTGCGTATGGCTAGCTGACGTTGACTAATAAGCCAGAAATGGCCATTCCAGTTTCTCTTGTCTTTGTCGGTAATGCTATTCAGCGTGGTCACTGCAAAATTTGACCGTTAGATAGTATGGTCTAGCCAAATCCAGACTGTAGAGCACCTTCACGTGAGAGGCCTTATCAAGTTGGACACACTGAGCATATGCAAGCGTTGCAAGGTTGCGACAGAAGAGGATGTTCATGGAGCATATGTGAGGTTTGTCTGGCACCTACACATTTTGAATATACAACAGCTTCATTGGGGTATCCTGGTCTTCTTTTTACAGCTGCTTTGAGCTTCCAAGTCTTCATTAATAAGTGCGTAATTTCCTCCTGTAGCCCCAAAACAGTATGCCCGACGTCATAGTATGGATGATAGCTGGAGAAAAACGTGTGGCCTATTTCCGTATTCCCGCCTACGATTTGCTCTACTCTGAAGAAGAACTGTATCGCGGCCGATATTGTGGTATAACTCGGACTATTCAGCTGAAGGTCAGTTATTTTTGAGTCCTTCACCAAAAATCATACACTCTGCTTAAGCAAATGTTATCATTTACGAATAAAATACCAGCCTGCCTAGTTTCGCGCAGAGTCCAATTGAAGTTTTACGTCTTATGTGTCCTCCTCCTAGGTTCCTATGTTAAACACCGATGATAAGGCCGAACACTGGAAGATACCTGCGCAAGTTCGTTTATCGTTGTGGCTGGGGTTGGAGAAGGATCAAGCAAACTGGCTTGAACGCAACGACGAGGGTCATGTGATTGTCGTCGCGGAAACAGTGCGTTGATCCGTCTGAACTACTGAAATAGTTTCAATAACAAATATCATTGTATTTAAATATTCAACTTCCTTTCATCTAGTACGAGAACCAGGCCAGCATTGCTGGCAGCTGGAGCTCTCGAAAGCCTCCCCTCACTCGGAGTCCATGGACCGATGTTACCGGCAAAATGGAATTGCCGAAAGAGGGCTTCGTTCCACCAGAGGGGTGGAAGTGGGATGGCGACTGGGAAGTTAGCCCCGAGATATCTCTGCTGTTCAAGAAGGTAAGGCTCCATACGGTAAACAATTAACATATTGCCGTTATATGAAGCCCTGAAACAGCCTAGATAATCCATTAATGATTTAAAATCGATAAAATCTTGCGTTTTTAGAGCACAAAGACTACATTGTTTTTAACCTAATGACCATTAATGTGACAATGCCCTGTAGCACCACACTACACGAAATGTGAAACTTCTTTCATTTTGCATGTTTTAGGACGCAGGAGCAACAAGTTTCGTGGAATCCATTTATTATAATGAGACGAGGACTCCTGTAACAGGCTGGGCTCCGGCTTCGGTACCCTACACTGACTCGTCAGGCGAACCGAAGACTTCGATCGATGACTTTCCCCTCCCTGATGGTTGGGTGTGGGAGGATGACGCTTGGCAGGTGGATCTTAGCAGACCGTGCGATGAAGAAGGTAGCTCAAATCGCAGCACAACCTGGGACTTTTTGTTCGCAGGGTCTTTTTTATCCGCTCATACTAACCCTATATTTCCATCTTATACGTAAGGAAGTATAATTCTGGTTAAACATCAGTTGTGTGACACCTATGTCTTGTAGCACTAAGCCAACCACAAGTAAGATGTTGGGCTTTATAAACGTTCATTACTATCGCTCCTTGAACTTATATTTAGGTTTCGAATATACCGTGGATGCCAAAGTTGGAAACTACGTCGCCGTAGAGAAAGTTTACCATATGGCCCGCAGGAAGCGCTTGACTCGCAAACGTGTTGTTTCTGATCCGACAAAGAGTGTAAAGGAAGATGTAAGTGGCAATTTGGATCCTGTTACTATTTTTTACGTTTGACATCTGTCTAAAATGGTCATTCTGTAATACCCGAAATCTTGCCAAAATCATTAAATTAAACAAGCCCAATGTTTTCCTCCTAAACCAATTGCAAACCAGGTTATCCTGTCTTCTGCCAGGCAAGCAATACTAGTTATTATAAGTAGTTGGCCACAGCCCGAAGGGTAAAACGTCACCTGAGGGACTAAAAATAAACTGGTTGCATGTTGTCGTAGACAATTCACAAACGCCCGCAAAATGGGAAAAGTCGGGCGATAATAGCCAAACAAATAGACTAGGAAGAAGTCAGATCATCTGAAATGCTATTATTGGTGTCCAAACACCTGCGATTTGTGGATGTTTGATCAAATATCACTGGCCGTTAAGGCCTTCTACAATAACCCTGTTATTCCGGCGAAATTTCATGGCAAGTCGATTCAAAATCGTAGAACTTTGCCGGAATAAGGGCTTAGAGTAGTACTTGTTGAAAAAACTCCTATGCCACGCAGAAGGCTAAAGATGTTTAGAAGAAGTCATATTATTTCAGTAGTGGATGAGAACGACAACCCAGACCTTACGTTCAGGGTTACCGTTTTGTCCATCTTGTGACATGCTGGCTGGGCATAGAACCTCCACCAATGCGCCAATCAAACGTTCTATTGATTGACTCGCATCTTCCAACGGTGTACGAAAGCATTCCGAGGTGCATTGATTTTTTTGACCCGCGGGCACGAGCTTTCCGGAAAAGTCGGTTTGTTTTTTGGCTCTTAAAGAGTTCTCCAGGAAAATTTTGGCGTGTTTTCGCACAAACTATCATACATCATTAGTTTTCAAATTTGACGTACCAATGATACGTTTACTCAAACGGTCGCGGGTACCTCACGGAGATGTTTGGTGTCATAATGAAAAACGTCCCTATTAAAATCGGGGTCGTTGATATCTCCTTCACCAGTTAACGCTATATCCACTTAGAATGCGTTTTAGACAGGACCGCAACAGCGTTGATGGAGCTTTAAAAGATGTTAAATTATTGGTCGCTGTAAAGTGTACTATGTGTTCCTGTTCTACCCTAGAGTGCGCACATCCAGCCTTTGAACTTAGCAAAGCGCTACTTTTTTTCTAGATGTCGATGCTAGGTAGATGGCGGAGACTTCACCCTTTCATTATTTTTTCTGTAGCTCGTTGCTCAAATGATGTCGAAGAAGAAGGTTTGTTAAGAGTGCTCCGTTTATTTCGCAGCTGCCTTAAACGCCGCTCTTAATGCCCCTTCCCATTCACTCCTAACTCATGGATATTAATTTGGTTCATTCCGCTTCGCTTTCCCATTATCGTCCTCCCTCAAACCAAGTGATTCAGTTTCCCGTGGTGTTTAACTTTTGTGTTTTTCTTTTGCTTTTCAGGACCAACGGCTAAGTCTCCTTGTACGTTTCAGACAAGTAGTCTCTCATTTGCACTTGTCACTGCAGGCTGAATGTTTCACAACACTTCTGTACTTGCACTTTAGTTGTCTTTTTTTCAAGGGCAAAGTACAATCAGTTCACTGATGCTATCCCGGGCTGATTAGATACTTGCTTCTCCCTGCATAAAATGTTAGGTATAGTTGCGCAATCAACCCTGAATTAAATGCGGCGCTTACTCCTGGTTCGAGGCATAAGTCCATTTGTTAATTCCAATGTGCGTATTACCTCTCTGTGGTGAGACTTTCGACTGTCGGATGAAATGTCACCCGAAAGACTAGTTGAGGGCGGGGCTGCATTGCTAACGATCCGAATCGTGAGGCATTCAAAAATGAATGAAAATCTCTTCTCCGGTTTAGGAGATTGGAGGTTGAAATGGTCTTGCGGCTGTTCCTACCCCTTCTTCCGTTTAAGTTTGTCTTATACATGTGCGCAACGCATTTATGTGAGGACATAGTACTGGTGACCGGCCCCGTTCATCTCCGACCCCAGCATACCGGACCACCTCGGTGTGCCCTCATTCCGTCCCTCAATGAGGCAGGGGAGGGGGGAGCCCTAATCCCACGTAAGTTTAGTAGAAATCAGAGCTCTGAAGGTCCTGAGAAGACCTACAACCTTGGGTCTTCCTAGTCCCATCGACAGTGGGGTGTTCTGGTGGAGAATAAACACGTACAATTTTCTGAAAGTTCAACCAACGTAAGCGTGGTTCAGCGAACGCAAGTTGTTATTCTGAAGTAATAATATGATTGGTTGACTGGTTGGCTGGTGAGAAACCTAGAGATCTCTCTAATCACTGGCGTCTTTTTAATTCTACCCCCTTTCCAAATAAATATACTGTCCTGAAGAGAATTTATCGAAAGGGAACGTATGCTCGCCATCTGGTCTTTTGAACCTACAGATTATTAAAGTGAAGGGCCAGATGACCTGTCAAGAACTCCCTGATAGGAGATTTATAAAGACCTTCTTCCGACTATCACCGATTTTAAAGCATGTATCATTATAAACGAGCTCTAATTATGCAGTCCAATCGTTCGTAAATCGAAAAGCAGGCGTTTAATTCGGCATTTCTTTGCCCCGGAGGTTGCTTTTAGGCACGGGTAGTTCTCTGGGCGTTTAACACATTCGTCTGTCAAGTTTGACGGAAACAAGTAGCTCGTCGTGGTTAACTAGATAACGTCACATCGGTCGTCCGTTGGCCGCCTCTTTTTCGTGCCTGGCATAGTGAGGATTTGTGTGTTAATTGGCTCCTATCTGCCTGTCCTGTCAGCGAGGAAGTAAAAGGTGGTTTGCCTGTATGCATTAGGACTTCGACTCTGTAAATCAGTGCAGAAAAGGGCAGGACATTGTGATGGGTTCAAGCCTACAGAGTCTACTCATGGCAACCACTATTACCTCACAGGAAACTGTTTCTGCCTTGGTAGAAGTTTTAGGTATCCACACATTATTCACAAATCAGAAAGGCGTCATATCGGTACCCAATAATGCTGAATCTTGGCCACGTTTATCACAGGAATTTCATCATTTCGACAGGCATTTACTAAGGAAGTTTAACACTTTGAGTAAACAGTAGGTCACAAGTCCAAATTAGTTTGGACTGAAATAGGAACTATCTCAAGTGTACCGATACCAAAATGTTTTGGATATTTCTCCGAATTTTGAACGTTTTAAAAGAGGGGGGAACATATAACCAAGGGTCAGAAGCCGATGTGTCCGAAATGGTAAATTAATGTCGAACCCTGTCTGCCAAACCGACACTTCCAGTTTTATGTGAAATCCCTCTGATGCATAGTTTACGTTAGCTCTGCTGGCTGCATCAACGTTTCACAAAGCACCTTTTGACGTTGTCGTTTCAGAGCAGCATGACCCCCGCCGCGGCGGAGGGTTGGGAATACGCCCTGCACTTTACCAGTAGATTCCACGCAACGAAAAAGACCACGGATTCCGTTCGTCGGCGTCGGTGGCACAGAAGGATGCTCCCATTGAACCCGAATATTATTGTGCCTGGCGTCTTCCAGTTCACCACGGAGAAGGAGGAGAGCGAGGTTAGCTGGCAAAACCATAAATGCCTTCAATTAATCATTTCAGCTTTTGACTGTTTCTGCTCTTTACGATAAATATCGGTGCTGTGTGCAACTATTCTTGGAGATGTACGCGTGTCTCACGACAAAATAATACTTAAAAACTTGCTGAAGTCTGGCGAAAGAAGCGGAATCTCCATTGAGAGAAAATGTTCTTCAACGTCTGTGGTCTGCATTCCAACATTTCGTGCTTTTTAGCTCTGAGTTCATCCGACTTTCGTCAATCACAGCATTAATTTCAAGTTATTACTAGTCTTAAAATGTCTTCTCGCGTATAATTATATTCTCCCCAGGCTCAATTAGTAAGTTCGAAGATTCTGATGGAGTTCAAAAGCGAATCGCCGCCCACCTTTAAATCCAGGCAAAAAGTTCGAGTGGATAGTCTGATGGGCTTCCTTTTCAAGTATCATCCAAAACTGTCTACTGATCCCCTCCTTACTCCTCGCCCAATACAAGCCTTGTCTATCTCTGTGGTCAGAGAACATTTTTATTCATGCTCTGCTATTAATTAAACGTCCTCTCATGAAATGTGACCCTAGGAAAAGAAGAAGAAGAAGGACAAGAAAAAGAAGGTGAGTGGCCTCTAACCAGCGCCATCGCAGTCACTCCGGTTGCATCAAACTTTCGATTTTTAACACGCTATATCAAGCTTGCTCCCGCCCCAGCCGTGTTTTTCAGCGCTTGTTGTGTCTTTTTCCTCTGTTGGAACACAAGAGATCAAGTTTTCTTGAAATATTTTGCCGAGTTTACTCAGACATGTACCACGCATCCTGACCTCATTAGCAGTTTTCATATTTAACATGTTTTGCATCCATAAGACGTGTAAGCACAAATGCTCGAGCCTCACCAGCCGATTAAAACCGACTAATCCAGTCTGTAGTGAGTTACTAGAACATCCTTGGTATAATTGTTCCCAAGGCTTACCTTCTGATTAGACGTCGACTTTAAGTCAGCAAACGAACCAATGATCGTGCGTTCATCTTCTGTGCAATAAAAACCTGGGATCCGCATATTCACTTCCATCCGAACCAATAAAATTCCTTCCAACAACGATTTATAGTGTTACTCACTGAAGTAACACGTCTGAAAATCGGTAGCCACGACGGGAAAGTTGATATGCCTGCCTTAATGAACCGCCGCCGTCGAGAATGATTCATGCGCGATTAACAGAGGCGCGTTCCAAAAGTGCTACTGAACGCTCACTTGGTTCGCGGCGTCAGGGGCGCCCAAAGTGCCAGTTATTAGTTCTAACGATGAAATGGGCAGCGGGCGTGGTCAGCCGTCGAAGGTTAAAGCCTTATAGGAGTAATCCACCATAAATTCCTTCGGTCACCTTTGCAATCGTTCCCGTGGATAAAAATACCGTGTCCCCCATGAGTGCGCTCTTTCAGCAAGACTGAATCTGCAAACAAACCGGCGATAATCGTTAATGTTGAAGGATCTAGAAGCGCTACTTCAGTCTCATCGGCGAAAAAATAAGATATACAATATTTATAGACTTTTTTGAAACAAAAGCAGATTAGCCTGTTGCAAATTCATGAAAAACCTAGGCCGCAGTACACAGATGCAGCGTCCACTTAAGGATGACAGGAAGCTTGTATCTGTCAATTCAGAACACCATCCAAATAGTTGTGCTTAATGGAAGCAATTCTAGCTAGTTCTGAACAACACCTGTCATATGGCACGGCTACGATAAGAGAAACATCGGGCAGACAGTCGATTTGAGTTGGGTATTAGACCTAAGCGTTCAATGAGTAACCCATCTCATGAAATTTTGGCCGAAATTCTGAAATGCGCTTTCAATTAGGAAGAAATACTTACGTGGGGAAGTAATATAAATTCTCACGCGACATAATCCTATAACATTTAAAACTTGTCAGAATGTTGGCTTTTGAATGAGCTCCTTTTCAATTTCCTGTAAGGACTGCTGTTGGTAAAAAGTAACTACTTAATTAGCAGGCGTTTTTTACGTTAACTTTTGATGGCCCCATATATTCAAAAATATTTTATAGAAGACACACACAAAAATAATTTCTTCCGCTCATTTGGTAGCAAATCACGCCGGCTCACTTTCCCAACTCAAAGAAAGAGTACCTTTTAGTTTTAAAAAGATATATAATCATGAGATTTTTAAGACCGTGCAGTTGCCATTCATCCAGCATTTTACCTGTCCTTTCAGTAATGCTCCCCATAAAGCATACAACACAATCCTCATCGATTGCAAATTTTATAAAATTCACATGGTATCTTCATAAAGGCATACAGGAATATATGATTTTTTACGCGGAAAGTATACACCTTATAGCTGAAATCGCTGAACCCATATGCAAACGCTGATCTGGTTTGTTATTATTCGGGAACTAGAAAACCTTTCAAAACCTAAATATACGCTTTTCTCGAGTACAAAATATAAAAATTACGCGATATGCTATCAAGTGAATAAGGCGAAAATACTTTTGGGCGTTTTCTGTTAAATATATTTAACTGTATAGAGTGTTTGAAAATCAACATGAAAGCGCACACTACTTAAGTTGTCATTATTGCCGAGTTTGGCCTTTACAACAGGCCGCTAAGGAGTGCATTCAATCAACATCCTGGCGAGTCAGAAATGTCATGGAATTTTGCTGCGTGATTATTAATATTACAACCCCACCTATGTAATCTTTCTTAACCGAAAACGTATTTCAGTATATCGGCTAATATTTGATGAGATGGACCACTGAATTTCCAAGCCTAGTTGACATTAACCGCGAATCAGCCACACTCCATCAGCAAAACACTAGCCTCCTAATTTGATTCTGAATGATTATTTTTGGACTGACTGATGGCCAACGCTAGAACGTACCTTTGCCACCTGGGTTAATTTGCATCTGAGTTGCTTTGGGACTGTGCATCGGCGTGGATTTCCTGTTTAAAGAGGCGTGTCACTGTTTTCAATCAGACCAGGTCGGTATATAACGCTTGGGCATAAAGTACGATAATATTCACCAAAGCTTGAACATGTAACTTAGTGGCAAAGTGCTCGACCTCATTTGAATTGCAGGTCGCCGACCGAATTATAGATCTTCGTTTTCTGGGGTATGCAGCCGGGATAATTATAGATGATTGAAGATCACGACTTTTCGATAAGCGTCCACTCTTATATTTTTGACCCACGTAAACATATCTACCTGTCCAAATACATGTCATCTTGCGTCAAATGCACGTCCTCTTATAGGCCCGAGATTGGGTAGCCAAGTGTGATCCCTGCCGCGGTTGCAGTTCTAAGTCCCCTCGCTCTCTTATATTTCGCTCTCCACATAAATAATGAGTCTGCAGAATGGTGACTTAATAAAAGTAAACAAAAGTGGATATTAACCCAGTAAATGCATGCTTTTGAGAAGGATTCCTGTGTGAGTGGAATGCGAAAATGTTGTACTGCAAATGCCAGTATGATTGTTTGCATGCATGCAACGATCCCTAAAATGTCCGGTTTCTAAGTATTCTTGGGGAAAAAGTAGATTTTGCAGCCACTATGATTATCTCCCCCCGCAATACGGCATCCTAAGGTCTCTTTCAAAATCATATCCACTCCCGTCAAATAAAGCATGTTCGCATTGGGTATGCTCCGTGTAGAGAAATTAGACCACATCCGTCGTTGGGACGTTGATATCAACTAAGTGGAGTATAAAAAGAACGGCACGTTCCAGGGATACTGCTCTGCATCAGCCGAGGAAATATTCGAGAAGCGTTTTCCTTTCTCGACTATGCGCTCATTACATCAGCAATGTCTGCTTTACGTCCCTCTCTCTCATTTCTGTAGTTAGGGGCATCCTGCTCGTATTGTTAAGCTTATGCTATTCTTATATTAGTCCACACAACGTAAAGACGATCAGTGTTTTGTGTTTTCATACCGTTTTTACTATGTAACTTCATTTCTGACGATCATAAACACAGGCTAGACAACATATTCCAAATTTTTATGCAGACTGGTTTCTCTCAAAAACTATCTCCTTGATTTAGGGGGTGCCAAATGTGCTTATTTACAATATCGCAAACTGACGCCGCCCATTCTGATTGGCTGCATGCTCTTCCCTTTCATTTGCCTCCCCGCTTATGTTTGTAATGCAAGTATCTAGGACCTTTATAGGTGTGCTCCGTTTAATTAAAGTTCCGTTTCGCATTCTAGAAGGAGAACATGGCAACTCCTCGAATTTTTGTGAAATATGATAGTAAGTGGACTATGAGTGATACGTGTATTTGAACTGTAAAGAGGAAGATTGTGTATTTATTAGATAAACTCATTGCGCAAAACCACACTCCAAAGCTAACGAACTGCTTTTGTAGCCGCGATACACTGGCAGTTAAGAGCCTACATCTTCCAGGCTCGTGGTCTGTTGGCTGGAGATCAAACGGGTCTGTCCGATCCCTATGTGCGTGTTAACTTTGTGAACCAATCCCAGAAGACCGAACGGCTCGAGAAGACACTGTGCCCTCAGTGGGATCAGACGCTCATCTTCGAGGACATAGCACTGCATGGCAGTCCGGAGTCAGTCATGAATTCGCCACCACCAGTCACAATTGAAATATTTGACTGGGATCAAATAGGAACGGATACATACCTTGGTCGTTGCAGGGTAATATCTAAGTTCTCCTACGATTTTCCTTCCCCCAATTGAATCTATCCAAGCAAAAAAGAGGTCCTTCAGCTTTCGCAGGCTAAAACTATAATATTTTTTCCCCCAGACTGAACCCGTAGTAGTCACTGAACCCAGTCATTCCAAAGATGTCCTCCTCCAGTGGTACCGATTTGACTGTGTTGGCAAAGACGGTGGTGAATTACTCGCGGCATTTGAACTTATCCTGGTAAGTCCGTCCATTGTAGTCTAGATTTAGTTTTACTTACCTTTGGCCGATCCTTCTCGTTAGCCCTTATCGACAAACCACTGTGCTTGACTTGTGGTGTAGGTGTTTACGGTATAGAGGGGGAGTCGGTAGTTGGCATTTCAGGTAAGCTATAAGACGGATCTCTAAGTACTAACCTTAGCAAATATTCCGTTTGGTTGCATGTAATTAAAATAGCACGTGTTGCCGTACTAAAGAACTGCATGCAGCTTAATTGACAGGAAGTCGCTTCAAGGGTTACCCAAGCACTAAGACTTCGGTCAAAGGCTAGAATCCGCTGTGGAGCAAAAATTTTGTTGAAGTAACTGAAATCGATGTAAGTTTTCAAGGTGAAAGTGTGATAAGATGCGATGAACATGGCTCTGGGGCCGGGGCGACCATAATTCAGACGGTACGGCTTGTCCAATATTCCATCTTCAAAGGGGATCTGCGTACCATTGTCTCGTTTCGACTATTGTCACCAGGCCGAGTAGGGAGTGTTGCGGCGTCTAGGGGAAGCTTCATCTTCGATCGATCTGCATTCCGAAATACACTTCTGTTTACTGTTTATACTTCGTTGGTGGTTTCAAAGTAGTTCGATTACCAAGCGCGAACTTGGCGACATCGACAAAGTCTTATATAGGAGGAAAATCTACGACAAGGTGCCTTGGCTTCATGTCTGCCATTCTCCTACTATACGACAGTCGTATTCCATTGTAAACTACTGGACTTATTAGTCCACAGAATATCATTTTACACATCTGCCTTATTATGAAGTCTTTGCATATAAGTTTTGTTAGCAACATTCTCCCGTTCACTCATCCCAATAAGGGATTCGCGAGAAGCTACTCGAGGTCCTCGCATCTGGCCGCGCCTGAACAGACGAGTTCTTTTTTCCTAGAAGAATATGACTAATTTTTACTGGGTTGCCTCAAATCTGACTGCTACCTTGTTGTGAGAATTCTTAATGTGGAAGTAATATTCATTGTGTTTTCAGTTGGAAGGTCAACCTGCTCGGCCTCCACCACCAATGCGTGGAAAACTCTATATGGTCCCTGATGGAATCCGTCCAGTCCTTCAACCAACTGCGATTGAAGTCCTTTGCTGGGGTGTCCGAAACATGCGAAAATATCAGTTGGCCAACGTCAACTCCCCGTCCATTGAGATTGACATTGGTGGCAACATTTTACACTCAGATACTATTAAGAATGTGAAGCGAACACCTAATTTCCCGAAGCCTTTGATGTATCTGAAAGCCAACCTTCCTAAAGAGGCGCTCTACATGCCCCCGATCAATATTATGGTTCGCGATAATCGTCCTTTTGGTCGAAAACCTGTTGTCGGAACACACGTGCTCAGTGACATTTCCAAGTTCAGGGTGGAACCTTTATATCAACCCTACGATCCTCTGGAAAAAATTCCAGGTACTGACATGCCTCATTTCCTTGTCTTTATGCTATTAAACGATAATCGCATACAATCAGCACTTCGAAGTTCTCTTACCTTTGAGATCAACTTAATCTAGGGTGTCACGAGATTAGCTGCTGAACTTGCTGACAACTATGTCTGTAGTATTGTTCCAGAAAATTTTCCCAATATAACTCCAGAGAGCCCGTCAAGATGTGTCCCCGTCTTCTTTACTAACTTACAAGTCCGTGTATTTGGTAATTACTATGTGAGTACAGGAGGTACTATGAATTGTTTTGGCGGTAGCAGTATTTTCACTAACAAGGGAGAATTAAAACAGAAAGCATCCCAAAACTGAACTACCAACCACTTTACTCACGTCAGTTTGCTGATTGTTTCGCCAGCAGCGCCATTCACTAGTCAAACGAGTCACGTACAGAAAATACGATTATTCGCTAATGCGTCGGACGACCTTGTAGTCAAGGCACTAGGCCACAGGGCATGAATCCCTTGGAGCGCATTTGCTGGTCCAGAGTTTCATATTTCAACAGAAATCTTGCGAAAATTGGCTCTAGTCATGACAGAAATCGAGGTGCTTGTTTGAATGCTCCATCCCTAGGAGACATACGACTTTTCATAAAGTTCCCTTCTACTTTACATACGTTTGCATTAAAATTGAAGCAAATTGTCACAAGAAAGCCTGGTGTGTGATGGCATATGTAAGTGCCTCGATAGAGCAAGGCGACTTCTACGTTTCTGCTCAGGTCTTCCTCACCTAAATTGGCTCTCCAGGTAGACTTTAGGGACCAGTATCCTTTTGTTACATCATATTCAACCCTCCGCACCTTTGTTCTCGTTTGCATCCCACAAAGCCGTCTACACAAACACAGCCAGTGTAGATGTAGCGAGGAATTTTAGATGATGTTCGCTGGGTAATGAATGGAAGGGTGATCGATTATAAGCCTTAAAATTAACCTGGTATCCATCGCGAAAAACTCCTTTTTCTCCAAAGTAAACCGACAGTTGTAACTGTCTAAGTAGATTGACGGATAAATGGCATCTACAAGGCCGTAAACGACTTCCACTCACAAGCAGGAAAATTTGCCAAGCAATAGACTCTTAACTCAAAATTGGTACAATATGTTTGGATATGGACTGTGTATCCGTTAACTTTAACTTTCTCTCTGTGTTTTAGAGTTAGCACGAGCCGGATCGCCTCCACTTATCCATGAAGACACAAGTGCTGTTAAGGTCTACGAACCGCACACTAAGAAGCTGAAGACGGTAACCTTCAAAATCTTGTTCATGTCATAATCTCTGCTAATCATCCTGCCGCCAGCATGTTGAGGGCGTATACTCAGATCTCCTGTAAACTTTTGATCGAACTTATGTGGGACAAAAAGCGGGACGACTGGTTTTTATGTTGACATTTAAGCTTTCCTTTTATTTTAAGTTACGAGTTAGAGAATTTGCTTCCCTCCCACACGGGTTAGGAAATTGGCTTCGTGTCCCTAGACATGTTAGTTTCCGGTACCACTGTTCAAGATACATAAACGTTCAACCTCAAATTATGTCGGATTACGATCCTACTGCGCATCCCCTGGGTTTATAAGTGGGCACATATCGTCCAACCGTGTACAAGTGTCCTTTGTTTCTAAAAATGTACCATTGAGACAGACCGGTATTCACGAAATCAGTTACGTCTGAGAAATCTGACTTCTTGCTTTTCGACCACATCTCCTTTTTCGCCTACTGTTTGTTTTAAAATGGGTCATGCGAAATTCATTCTCTGTCATTCAGTCATAGCCTTAACTAGGCTTGGAATCACGCGGTCTAGCGATAGAAAGTTCAGCTTAATAAAAACGAAACAAGGGATTGAAATTAAGGGACTTACCGGGGAACACTTGTAGTAAGCCATATTGTCTTATAATGGTGCAAATCCAAAAAAATTCCACTCCACTCTCCGTTTTTCCCTTCCATAACGCGTCTCGGTTACTTAATACTCTTCGTTATCAAACATTCTAGATTGAATATCCAAAGAAAGAGAGAACGGACGTGATACTTCCTCCATTTAGGTTGACGTTGACTAATACCATTCCATTGTGACATTGAAATCTCGTTTAAGAGAAGACTTGATTGCATATATACAGTGCTCAATGACGTCTTAAAAGTCTTTAAAGTCAAAATATCAGCCATTAAAATCATTCAGTTCTCCCTCGGATCCTGTTGCATTCGGTTTCTTCTAAGAAATACGGAATAGCTTGTAGTGATGGTGAAAGTTCTCTTAAATGTTATACCTCCAGACTGATCCGTTTGCTTTGTGGGCGCAGAACTTGATATTTTTCCTTGCACTTACTTTAATAAGGGACGAAACGTCTGATTGAACACTGGATTCCTTTGTTCATTTTTCGATCTTCGAATTCGCACAGTACTCCTCGTTCAGAGATAAAATCAAAAACAAGTCGTGGCGTCCTTAACCCAATTAGCGAGCATTGCCACATGTTAGGAAATAAGTGGCAACTGCGGACGCAAGATTAACATGTAAATTGACTAAGTTCTACTAACAGATCAAGGCTTCAATTAACTGCTTGCTTGTCCTACTTCATGCTTGATGAATTATTTCGATGACAACAAAATCGAACTCTTGACGCTTTTCGAAATTGTGGGCAACTGTGTCTGATAATTCATCAGTTCGTCGCACAGCCAGCTCCTGTTCGTGTATTCGTGATTTGATCTTCAGTTCAGTCTGATCTATGTAAGTACGAGGACCTCATCGTTCTAAAATGAATTACGAAGCTGATCTGAATGAATTAGTAGACTCACCCAGGAGAAACCTCAGTTGGTAGTACATCTAATTTGACAACTTTTAAATGGAGTGGACTTCAGGACGACACTTGGATGTGAGGAACTATTTTGATTTTGAGTCTCCGGCGCATTCACGTATTGAGCTGGTTCCTGCAAGTTGTTTAGTTTTTTCGAAAAGGTTTAAGACCTGAGTTTTCTATCGTTGAGACAATTTCTCAAGAAACAAGACAAGCCAGCGGTTATTTGAGGTCTGGGTCTGCGATCAGAATTTGGATATCCAAAATGCTAATTGTGGGCGGGTATTTGCGGACGTTGATTGGTTTAAGGACCATGTAACTGCCACATCTTCTGTTGCTGCTATCTTTGGGGGGGGGGGACTGCTACACAAGTTCGGAAACTCAGGAAAACAAATGAAAGGTTCCGGTTTTCGATCAGTCGTCTTCTTCCCTCCTCAAATATTTAACTCCATTCTTCTATTTTTTCAGTACTTATTTCATATATGCAACGTTGCTAACTACGAAACCACAGTAAAATACAAATGAGAAGAATTTACACCCCCCTGGCCTCAACACATTCTTCTAGTATGAGTGATTTCGCCTCTTCGGTTGTCGCACTAGTAAAATAACCTACCAACTATCCTTGCAACACTTCCACGTCCTTTGAAATATGAATATGCAGTTTGCATGACAAGAAGACTATGCACTTTCAATAAGACTGAATAGCAGTTCCTTTTCCGGATTAATGACTGCATTGCAACAGACCCCCTGTCTGAATTATAACGCTTTCCTAAAAGGTGCGGAGGCAAGGGTAACTTTTGCACACTTCTCTTCCATACATATTACTTTTGATCTCATCTCCTGTCGTGTTCTAAGGCTTGGTCAGCAACCAAAAGTTTTCGGTGTAGAAAGGCAAGGCCAAGGCATCGATTCATCTCAAGTCGTGGAGACACAAATCGTTTCCTTCTTGCCATTCTTCGACACAACGCACTTCTTTATTATTTTCAGCAGATAGGGAAGTTGTTCTTGGATCGGCAGATCGCTCCTCTCAGTCATTACTGCTCAAAGTCATGGTTTCACTTCTCGATTTGTATGCAGTCCACACTATTAAATCACTCGACAATTACTCGGGCAAATTCAAAGTCGACTTCGCCTTAGTTGGAGGGATGTAGTCCTGCTTACGTCTCGATTCTTAAAGCATCCATGTTAGAGAAGTGGAATTATTAAAAGTTTAGAACAGGAAAAGTGCTTTATGTATGTGCTAAACAAATTTTAAATAAAGTTTGCGGTGAGAGGAACCCAACGTTTGGTCTTATCTCAGAGAAGCCCACAGAGAATGCAAAGAGATTACGTTATCGCGGGCGAGTGTGATGCACGGAAGTATAGAAAACTCACTTGAATAAGAGAGACGTTGATTTTGCTCATACGCTAAATCTTAGCGGATTTAAACTATTGCATTTACATGTTTACTTCACATACTGATGACTGGGTCGAGTATCGTTATAGTGTTTACTTGAGGACGTTTTAGTCGCCATATCTTCGCAGGTTGTTTAAGAACCGCAGCAGGCAACGTGTTATATCCACATCTACCTCAATGTTATATCTTTCTTCCCAGGAGACCACGGGAACTTGAATAATTGGTGCGGTTTAAAAGCCTACTAGTCCACCTTCTGCCACCTACAAGTGCCATAAACTATACCCCCAAACTGCATTTTTCTTGAAATTTCTTACAAAATGTTTGCTTTGAATAAATTCCTGCTGTACGAGAACCTTTGGCAGGACTTCGAGGGAGATCGAGTCATAGTTTTTCTCGCCTGGGTTTGGTGTTCACTGATAGTTTTTTTGTTACACCCTGCCATGAAGGTTGTGAGGTGTGAACCACACGTGTCATGTGAAGCTATGCAAATGACATTAACCCACAGTGCTTTGATTTTTCATTCAAAAGAGGTAGGAATAATTGCATAACTGCAGGTGCACGCTTGCTCAAGAGTGGCTTCCTTTTCGCCTTCCCCACACAAGCAGTCTGCGGTAGCCGACTCAACATTCGGACACGTAGACAACGTGGCAACCCCTGATGAGAGCGCGCATTTTGCCGATCTGAAGCCGCAAGGCCGCACGGTTGTTTTACATTGTAATATGAATGCGCACGAGTGCACCGCATCGTTGTCCATAACTCCCCACCACCGTCACCCAATGATTTTGCAGTTTGTCCTCCGTTGTGTGATACGAAAACCTTGGTGTTTGAGGGTGTCACTGAAAACGCGTGAAATGAGCGAGTTTCCTGTAGCGAAGTAATGATAAGTAAGAGTTTCACCACCACTGCTCTGATTATAGCAGTGTATGATTTCAACAGTGGCAACTAATTGTGGGACTTCTTTGTCTGTTCAGTTGACCTCTAAGCCAGTGTTTTAAAATTTGTGACTTAAGCCATACGACAGGTTTAGTCTGACTAGAGCGGTTTCTTATTCTTTTCCTTTATGTACCTCTATTTTCGTTATGTGAAAAGGTAAGAAAACGGCTAACTGCACATTAAATCAAGCTCACCCGCGTCTAGAGAATTGTATCATACCTATCGAGTAAGGCAGCACAAAAGACGACGTTGCATCCCTGTTCACGCTATGCATCAGTGTTTGTTACAAAGGCGTCCGGTGGCTGTCAAAACGTTGGTTTCTGGTGAATCGTATTCCCAACGAAACGAGTAGCTGGTTTTTGTTTATGCCGCTTGATGCGTGGAAAGAAGACAAATCACTATATCGGGTGTTTTGTAAGGAGGCCAGCTAGCCAACGCATGACCAAAAGCTGAAATTACGCGCCAGTCGTACCAACCGTACCAGGGAAGATAGTGGACGCGTTCTGAACAGGTACAACTCAGCTTTCTCTATACCGTCAGCAGTTTTGAAAAAAGCAGCAGGATAGAATGACACAGGTTGACCGGCGAATACGCATGGATATAAAGAAAATTGATGTTGAAAGCTTATCCATGCCGTCTTCAGCCGTTCGTACCTCTAAACCAACACATGAGACTGGAACCACAAGCATGCGCACTAATGATGCGCATGTGTCCACAGATCAGGTCAATGTCACAGAACTGACGTTTACCAATGAGTCGTCTTCTGTCAGAGTAGATTTGGTTGTTAATTCTATTGGATTCCTTTGATGCCACAGAGGGTTGATTTTACGAACAGGCAAGCACATAACAGTTCCTAGGCAAATAACCGCAGAGTAGTGATAATGGATGCTGACGATTATTCTAAGCCGGTCTGGCGTGAAGCTTCCGTCCAAAGATGTCAGCTATCCGAAACGCTGATGGACAGGTTATTCGATATTTTCGACTCCCCAATACCACTGGCATCCAATTAGCCATCATCTATTACCTTTCATTAAATTTCTGAGGTAACATGTACAAGTTTTTGCTAAATATTCAAAGTTCCTGCGATTACACTAGTTTAGTTGATGTCATTTGCAAATTTAGTTAGTGCAGAGCACTTCTCTTTAAATCTGATTTCAAAGATGTATGACTGGATGGGCTTTGTCACCCAGATGTATGGAGACTCCCTTGCACGAGTGCTGGCATTTAGGGGACTCAACAAAACACCACTTTTTTGTGTGCCTTGCATGTATTGACGGTTGCTTTTATTTAAAAATCTGTCGTACTCACTGTGAGACGGACGGCCTTTGTGTCCGATAAACTACCCTCTGTGTCCCTTCTTCGCGATTGGGGGAGATGACACTTAGTTATTTTTGTTTCACTCAGATGGATCTGGCTGAGCTCGATGCAAATATTGACTGGTACTCGAAATACTACGCTTCACGAAATATGTGGAACAAATGCCTTGATTACAAGGAACGTGGGTACGATACGTTCGTGGTAAGTTTGGTCTTCGTGTGGACCTGGCCACTTTGCAATTTTCTCATTAAAAACACGCCAAATGCCAGTACTTTCACGACGTCTTCTATTCTGTTTTAGTACTACAAAGACGAGCTGGAAAAACAAGAGGGGTTCTTCGGCTTCATGGATTTCTGTTCAGTATTCCCTCTTCACCGTGGAAAGTCGACAGATGACGACGATGACACCTATGCGGGTGACTTCAAGGGCACTTTCCGGGTGTACTCTCTTCCCGAGGATCCCAATGCTCCTCAGCCGCTCCGATACTTGGAAACGGAGGTTCCCAAACCGGATCCAGTTGAATGCATCGTTCGTGTCTACGTCATCAAAGCAACAGACCTTCAACCCAGTGACCCTTCGGGTTTGGTAGGATAATTATTGTTGCCGTTTGATCATTGAAATGCTACTTCATAAACAAATAAATTGCATAGGAACTTGTGCATTGTCTGTCGCTGATCAATTGAATGATATGTTTATGTGAATTTTATCTTGCAGGCGGATCCCTACGTTGAAATTGTGCTTGGCAAACACAAGGTCAGCTCAAAGGACAACTACATTCCCAACAACTTAAACCCAGAATTTGGCAGGTAAGTTCATCGAGTACATTAAATTCTTAGTTCCCACTCCTCGTCACTTTTACATCAGTGGTGCTGAACTTGCAGGTGTCGGTTTATCAGATCATCTAACATGGCCTGAAATTAAAAGCAGTGAAGTATTAGCCTTCTTTAACATGGATTTTTTTATCACTTTAGCCATTCTTTAATAAGGATGACAGATTAAATGATAAGTTGGCACAAAATGTAAGACATCGGCACTCGCTACCAGGTTTGTATTAAAAAAATTACTCGACTCACACATCCCTGATGTGATCTAGATCCCTTTGTGAGGAAGACCGCCCTGCCATAAAAAAATTCCGTCAAGAACTGTATTTTAAAGCCTACTGGGATCTGTAACCTCCTACAAGGAGGTCCAAATCTTGCATTCACCTTCTACAATAAAATGTCGTAGTTCGAAGGACTGCAAGAAGGCAAGAGACAAAACAGTTACCCTGGTTGCTTACTCTAACCAAATGCAATAAAAGTACTTAAAAATGAATACGAACATTTAAGCACTTTCCAAGGATAGAGGGAATTAAGTTTATATAACTAATCACATTTCCAAAATTATGAAATTTAAGTCCTTCCTGGTGAGCAAAATTAAGTAGATCAACCCACAATTCACAAGTCATTATCGTGACATACAGGATCAACAGACTACTGGACGATTTCAAGAGAGAACATAGAGTCGTACTGGGCGAATACCATCCACCGGAATTAGATGCTACCTTTACCATATTCAGCGGTCCGTCAAAAACGGTCAACATAGATAGTTATGTGCGGATAGTTGCTTGATTAAGACATAGCCTACCTTCTAATTCGTTAAGCTAATATATCTTGAACTTCATTTTCCTCAAGGACGCTGAACGATCCTAGATCAAGCAGTTTTACAGTTTTTCTGAATCATGAAGGTCAAAGAATTTAGCAGGACAAGATGTCGACTTTTTCACTTAAGTGTCCGTTTATATCAGCTTTAGCGGAGAATTATGCATATGCATGTCGCGTTTTGGTTAACATAGTCTCTGTGTCGTCTTTTGTTTGACATAATGCACAATAAGTACCTCTGTTCTTCTAAGCTGACTGTTGTTATGGACCGACAGTGCGCTCTCACAACAGCCTCCCTCAGATTAATAGTTTATGCGTATATTTTTAATTTTCAGAATGTTCCAATTAAATGCTCTGATTCCGGTGGAAAAGGACCTCATCATCCGTGTGATTGACTATGACTTGCTCTCCCGCGATGATGTGATTGGTGAGACGAAGATCGATCTGGAGAATCGCCTGCTCACACGATACCGCGCCACCTGTGGTTTACCTCAGACCTATACCGTCTCTGGCCCCAACCAGTGGCGTGACAGTCAAACGCCGACACAGATTCTCGATGAATTTTGTACAAAGAACCGCCTCCCATTACCCAAGTATTCCGACACAGATGCGGGTGGTACCATGACCTGCTACATAGGAGAGCACTTCTTCAATCTCAGTGTCTTCGAGAAGGGACTCATCCCTAATCCTCATCTAGGCATTCCAAAGGAACGCCTTGCTCTAGCTATCTTGAATTCTCTACCCTTAGTCAAAGAACATGTAGAAACACGTCCTCTCAGCAGTCCCATTCAACCATCAATTGAACAGGTTCGTTTTACTTCAGTGGATGAACGCCCTAGTTCGTGTATCAATCTTTGCCTGTTACAAACGTTCGGTCGGCATTTACGTCACAAAACATTTTATTTGCCTTTATATTCCATTCTGACGTTTGTGCCGAGTATAATTTAGATTCAAATTAACTTTGTCTGAGCTTTGGCGTTTCGTAGATGAAGTTTAGTTGTAATGTTTGGACGAAATGGTTAGATGTCCTTAAGTGAAGTAAACAGTAAGTAGGTGAATTAACAAAATTTTCATTCGGCGAAGTTTTGCTGTTTCCCAGATACATAACGGGAAAACAAGCCTATCTCTATGTCCGAACTGGTAGGAAATTTATAGACGTCACAATGATTATTAAGTTCCTATTATCAGCAAGAACAAAGGAGACTGGCACGTCATTCTTGACTTAGTTGCCACCGTCAGCAGGTCCCAATCCAAGGCAGAGGGTACGAACTGTGGACTTTCGATCAAGTTAATTTGTTAAATTCAACTGGTAAGCAACTCCGTAAAGTTATGCTCCAGAATAACTGAAATCGGAAACGTGACTTAGCCGTTAGGGCCTAAGGCTCAAGAATGGCCATCCCACTCGTCTGTGACTTCGTTGCTTATGTAAAGAAAATGAAGACGTTTCGAGCACCGAAACATTTTGTTCATTGTCCTGAGCTTTCGGACTCGGGTGACGAGGCGACGCATTATCACACACACCTACAAAACGGGTCACGGGTTTGACTTCGCAGCGAGAAAAATAGTCGCCCACGCCGGAAACAAGACAGACCGAAAATTGGTTGAAGCCTGGGCCTCGGATGGGAACTCAGTCAATCGATTTATCGATCCGGCGCCAGCGCCCTACGCAGTCATCTCCAGTCTTGCGCCGTCGTCGATGATTGGCCTAAATGCCCCATAACTGTCGCTTTTTCTGTTACTGCTACTATCTCTGACGATGGAATCCTGCACGTGTCCGAAAACTCAGGATAATAAACGTGTTCCGGTGCTCAAAACCGCTTCTTCACTAGTGAATACACCTGGAACTCGAAATTTCGCCTTCATTTGTTGCTTATACCTCCCGAATACTGATTTCTTGTCACTATGAGACTTGTCTGAGCCTGCCTCCTGTCGTCCAGGTTGTGTCCTTTCATCGGGACCAGTGAGTTAGGGAGGGGAGAGTGCAGCAGCTGCTGTTGCGCAGTCTGACGTCACAATAAAATAATTCGTGCGCTCTGCACTCGCTAAGCCATGGGACACACGGTGAGCATCGTCGTTCGCGACATTCAAACAGATGCCGCTGAGTTCCCGATAAATGGAGCTTAAAATGTAGATGTTCCTGGCCATATGCCGTAAGCATGGTCAAAAGTTGACAGAAAACCAGGGAGGAGAAGAGATAAGTTTTTGTTTAGAGATACTCGGCGTTCTAAGGGAAGATTCCCGGAATGACAGTGTTCAATAGAAGTAAAAAGTGTATATTTCTAAACTGCTGAGGTTAAGTAGTTGATGTAAGCCTTCACTTTCTTTCTGAGACTGTGCAGACGGAGTCGGTCAATGCTGTCATTATTTGGGAGAAGAAAAGATGAATAACCAGTTTTCACGAACTAGTTAGTCGACGTTTTTCTTAAAAGTAAAAAATAAAGGAGAGAGTGTTAACGGCTCAGTTTAAGGAACCTGACAAGCAATAGGCATTCAACAATCCTACGTCTTTGTTGGCAATACCTGATTACTTGGTACTGTGTGACTGCCCTCGAGCGCTCATCGTTGGGACTTCGTGCAAACCGGCGCGCTGTTATTCTGTTCCAAAATCAATGGGAATCAGTTCATGCCTTTACCACGCGAGACTGGCTATTGTCTGAGATCCCGTAAATGGAAACCTTTGACTGGAAAACAGGGCGTACTACATACCAACCTGAATATGCTTCGTGACAATACTACAGTCTACGGTATTCAAAACCTTTGGTTGTATTCTAGTTTGAATCAATTCAATTTAGACGTTCCTATTTCAACTGAATTTCTTCAAAACTATTTTATAAACACTCAATTGTACTCATTTCTTTTTCATGTGGTTGTTTTAGCCCTGTGAATGTGCTTAGGTTTCTGTGGAAGGAATAACCAAGTAGATGAGGGAGATTGAGATGGACAGTCCTAACTTAGTAACCGTCATCAGCCAGCCATACAGGATTCCCTGATTTGAATAAATCCTGAATCGACCACATGATGAGACGCGCCTGTTCCGTATCTTAACCGGCCTACTGAATGTCCCTGTAACATTAACGCTTAAGCCCCTTTCCAGTCTGACTTCCCACAAAAACCTGAATTCCGATTGGCTCGATAATAGCATTTTGGTGTCAGTAGCAAAATCCTTGTTCAGAATTTACACAGAGACTATGGAGGAGTCGTGTCTCGGAATATTTGGGCTTTGTTTAGGACCAAAGTTTCCGGGGAGGTGCTGCCTTCACGAATGATCCTCCGTCCGAATTATAGTTTGGCGGTTTAGCTCGCTAATAATCTCTTTTTTGTGTCATAGGCGGCATGCTTTGTAGTTGACGACAGCCGTGCCTGTAAGTTGACCTGCTGGGCACTTTTCTCTGACAGACTACCTGATGACCACTAATTCAGATATTTTTCTGTCATTTCTTATCATGTTTACTCCATCCCCAACCTAGTGTAGGTCTCACACTTCAGATCTGCAGTTTTGCTGTCGTGTTCTACAATCACTTAGCTGCATGTTACGACCCTAAGCTGGTGTTCTTTTAGTATGACCTGAATGCTCTGCGGCACTGTCCGCAGCTTCCCGTACAGGTGAGTTCTCAACAGGAAAGTTAAGTCTTCCTTTCCACCATGAGATGCACGCATGCATGCTTGAGTAAGTACTCCCTTGACCTCTAGTCGTTGTTATTCCAATATTTATTTTCTGATGAGCATCACCCGCACGCCACGAAATTAACCAGGTTATATCGCACGTGCACGCAACCACCCTCCAGAAGTTAATCTCATTAGCCAGCTTTGATCCTTTAGGGAAGACTTGAACTCTGGGTCGACATTTTCCCGAAGTCCCTCGGTGACCCCGGTCCCTGCTTCAATATATCTCCCCGTCGGCCAAACGATTACGTGCTACGTGTGATCGTGTGGAACACCTATGACGTCATTCTCGACGAGACTTCTATCACTGGCGAACGAATGTCTGATATCTACGTCAAGGTACGTTTCGTGGACGGCAGCAAATCCAAGGCGAAGTACATGTAAATGGTGTCCTTCTAAATCATGGTTTTATTCATCGGCCTGTTTACTTTGAGGTTGACCAGCAGCTAGTAACATTCTGTAAAAGAGAAGGAGCGCCTGTATGCTAATATAGTTAAAGTTACTAGAGATTTTAAAAACCGAAGAATCGAGAAATTGAGGATTAGGTTTCGGACTGTACCTGCTTTTTGTACTCCCATGTATTTTAGGGTTGGCTTCAAGGCGTCGAGGAACGCGATAAGACCGACGTCCACTATCGATCCCTGAATGGAGAAGGCAACTTCAACTGGCGTCTAATATTCCCCTTCCAGTACATTCCGTCTGAAAACGAGCTTGTAGTCTCCAAGAAAGAGCATTTCTGGTCGCTGGATAAGACGGAGAAGCGTATGCCAGCCGTTCTGGTGCTGCAGGTCTGGGACAATGACCTCTTCTCCCCGGACGACTTCTTGGGCACCCTCGAACTAAACCTCACACGAATGCCCCAGCCAGTAAAAAGGGCAAAGGATTGCACCGTTGCCATGATCCAGACAAGCCAGCCGCATACCAAGTTCATAAACCTGTTTGAAAGCAAACGCACGAGTGGCTTCTGGCCGTTTGTAGATGCCCCTGGACCTGAGATGAAGCTCACCGTAAGTTTGCATCCACGGTATGGAGGAAGAAATATTTACGAGGTGTACTTTCTAAGCATGCATTTTTGACCATCTTCAGTGCTTTTAATATTTTTAGGACCATTGGTATTTTGTTGAGTATACTTCATTATTTGATACTGGGCAGCTGCAAACAAAGTCATAAAAAGAACAAAAAATAAAATTCTGAAAAAAGATAGGAAGGGACCGCGGAAATACGCATACGAAGAGAAGATAACAACAAAGGAAAAACGAAAGGACAATTAGAAGGAAAAACTAAGGACAAAAAGAAGTCACAATTAGTCTTAAGTCAACAATAGGCCACTTTACCGTCCACCTAAATCTACAACACAATGAGGTTGTTACAAAAGGAAAAATTGTGTTGAAAAACCTGCCATTCCTGACAATCGACGGTAGGTTTCCTATGCGAAATAGCAAACTTTTTCGACACCCAGCTGTAATTTTGATAAAAATAGGATAACAAAAGGAACTACCTAGTTTGCTCGATTGGAATTACTCTCAATAGTAGCGACATGTCAAATTTTGGAAAATATTCATTCAAATAACGAGGAAGAACTTCAGTTGATAGAAGCAGCTGAAAAATATTGATAGAACCAATAATGTCGAAGAAACCCCAAGCAATACGTGGAAACTGAGATGCCCATTTCGGGTTTGCTGATTGCCATCATTTGGCCGTACCACAGCCCTAGGTGTGGATGAATGATGTTTGCACAAAAGTCAGTTTGCTGCCGATAAATTGGCCTACACTCTCTCTCTCCCTCTGACTTAGGCATCAGGCGCACGTCTTACCAACTGCGGTTGGTAGCGATACAGACAGGTTACGTCATTCAAGGCAAGCTCAGTCAGACGGCATTGTCATGAGACTAAATAGTTCCAATTGGGCCGACAGGAATTTGGCCCCTGGCCCAAAAGGTAGAACGGGGGAACCAACTGCTATATGATCAACTGAGCCGAGTTAAAATTCCAGGCAGTTCTGACCTTTAAGGTAAGGTGGTACCATACTAACAGCACAGGTACTAGTCAAAAGCCCATACGCGTGTGTTTCGCCGACAATTTCTAAATTTGAGTATCTACCAGAAAACACACGAGGAATGCTGGGGGACACACTGACGAGCCTAACCCCTCGCAGCTGCGCCATGCAGCGGCAGAATATTGGTGAAACACGCGTGTGTGGGCTTTTGGCTAGTACCTGTGCTGTTAGTATGGTACCACCTTACCCTTAAGTATACTACTAGCTGTCTGTCGACAGTTAATGAATATTACGCGGTTACCCGCTGTGGCTGATGGACTTTGGCCCAAATATTCATACATAAAATTCTCGGTCTGAGCCTATAGACCTTGAATAAACTGATCTATTCCAACTTCGTAGATAATTTCTGAGCAAATTAAAAAGCGACAAGTTCTGACCTTGTCATGACGTGTATCCGGTTACTGCGGGAAAATAAGCCAGAAATTTCAGTTCCAGTCTCTATCGTAATTTGTATTATTTCTTCCAACTTACTGTTTGGTTGTCACCATGTGACAGCCTACGGGGGGTGCTAGCCTGGATCTCCAGAACAAAACAAGCTAGTGTGTTCCTTCTTGCGACTAGCTGGGAGAACTGCCGCTCCCGAGTAACCTGGAAGTGGAATTATAAAAATTTTTTGTCCTTGACCATTATTATGCACTGTTTCTGCATGGTGTTGCAACAGTATCCTTCTGCGTATGCACTGTTGATGACAAGACCTATTTAAAGTTCCTCATTTACCAAAAACCGTTTCGTAAAATTATCTTGCTCCTTCTTGATACAAAGTATGCTTCACCGTTCGGATTAGTAACCTGCGAATTTGTCCCTCCCATACTCCTTAGTTTACCTATTTATTAACTATCGGTTCTGATTTCGTATAAGGGCCTCCGGAAGCGCACCAAAATAAATAACAATATCGTAATTCATAACATAGTAACTCACCGAAGTCCAGTCTTCCTTCAAGAGCAGTTGCCTTTACCTTACTTTACCTGGTCGGGTCTTTCGTTTCCGCAAGGGTAAACTGGAAGCTGAGATCGAACTGTTGACGAAAGAGGAGGCCGAACTTAAACCTGCTGGTCCAGGTCAGGATGAACCGAACGCGAATCCGCATTTGGACAAGCCGAAGTGAGTCGCCGTTGTCGTTTTGAAGAATTTAAATATCATTGTAATTATTTCCGGCTGAAATTTCACTAAGACAAGTTGAAACAAGCGTTGGTTGCGCGCAGGAATATGGGCCCGCATATCGCAGGTAGCCTACCCTTAAATTACGGCAGATTTAAAGTTGGGTTCAGTGTTAGGGTTAATGTTGGAATTAGTGTTAGGGTTAATGTCAGGGCCGAGACTAGTTCCAGGAGGGTTAGGTTAAATTTTGTGACTAGGTTTGTGATCAAAGTTAAGACATGGTATCAAGAACCCCCTGGAATTTGGCGTGGGGCAACCTGCAGTATTCGGTGGTCTATATTCCCCTGTCTGACCCATATGTTTGTCTGAATAACTCACTCCTCTTTACAAATCCTCGCCTCAGGTTTCCTCTCTCCCGCTGTAAAAAGGCTATATGCCATGTTCTGCAAGCAGTAGACTTAACGCCGATAATAGGATATTAAGCACAGAAGGGGGTTGTTAAAATAGGACTTTGCATCAAATCGGCTTTTGCGCAAAATCTCGTTCCCAATTGGCTTGGCTCAAACAAGCCTTTGATACATGTGTGGGTGGGATTAATCGAGCTGAGGTCAAACACATATTTTCACACTGAAAATAAGCACACGCGCTTTGAAGCCACCACGACATCCTAGCAGACGCGTCTTTGAATGCAGTTGAATTACAATAAACCTCGGTCCTACTGGCAGTCGGGTTGTAATGGCTAGTCGTTCATGCGGCCTTTGCGGCATGTCCCAGCTTTTGTGAGATTTAAAATTTCCTAATATAGGCCTGACGTACGCGAACTAAAAACCGGGCTGTGTTTGGAGCACATAGACGGACTGTTTAACTTTCTCGCCTGCTTTACTCATATCCATCTGCGATAACCTTAACTCTGTTTCACCACCAGAAGAGGGTGTGTGATATAGGAAGGAGCTAGATTCAGAGCCTGTCGACATTACTATAAATAGGGTTATGGTCGCTGTCACCTCTTGAGGCAACGGTCAACTTCGTCGTTTGCGGTGATCAGACAAACGGATAATCTTAGCCTACTATTACGATGACCTAATTTTAGGACAATCCTATGGGCTGTGTTACTTTTTCGGTGTCCTTTAGCACTCTAGCAAGTCACGTACGACTGTTCGGAATTTGGGAACCGTACTGTTGAATAGTTTTTTGCAATAATTTTGCCACTTCGTGCAATAAAGTTTCGCTCCCAAAGACGGATTACTACCGGATGACGGTACTATGAGGGAATTCCGCTGTCTCTTGCAGTTCGTCAAACTTTTCTTACGAACTGCTGCTCCTACACTTAACTGTTTTTTGTGTAATTTCAGGCGTCCTGAGACCTCTTTCTTCTGGTTTACATCACCCTTCAAGACGTGCAAATTCATCATATGCAAGCGCTTCAAGTGTATCCTGATTACCATAATCTGTGTCTTTCTGGCTATCCTCCTCCTTGCACTCTTCATTTACGCCATTCCGGTAAGTTTCGTTTACTTCCTCGGACGGGGCTTCTTTCAATTTCGCTTTCCATAGAAGAACCAAAAACATTCTCCTTCCCATTTTAGCAACTCCTGGCTCGTAAAATGGTTGGTGTATGAGTCCCTGATGCCGTACAAGGGAACTGTCTTTCATGGAATTCCAAGTAAAGCCTGTTTAGCACATCTTCCCTCACTTCTCTCCCCCGAAGCCAACCCGCTTCTATTCTGCTCCACAATTTTACCACCTTCATCCTACCTACCTACCTGTTCATGCCAGTCTCTCACAGGCATTCCACTGTCGTTTTTAAAAACTAGATTATAACTATTCTACCGACCGACTATCGTCTCGGTGCAACTCTCTGTGCAACAAGTCCACAGCTTCTAAAAGTGCCTCGATGTACCAAGGGTACAAAGCCATTACTTAACAATTACCTATTCCGCCCCCACTTGAGCTTTCCCGCACTCCCCCTAGCCGTCTAGGTTTTTGGAATTGGACTGACAGTCGTGTGCCTCGAATGCAGGTTTTGATTTATTTTTGTCTTATAAACCAGGCAGGTTATCCCACCACACACTCTTTCCTCTCATGATTTCTTTTTGTGTTTATCATCTTTGCAGTTCCCCTCTCGTCTCGAATTTCTTTACTCTGAGTGCATATTTATGGGTGCTTTCAATTTTGTGATAAAATATAAGAACGGTTACCTCAACGACGGAGTTGCCTGTTCATCCTCACCCTTATTTGGCTCAAATTTGCTGACGCGATATATTGTAGGTAAGATCAAACAACTGCTATTCAGGCACTTCCGACGACTTTACGTACGAGCTTAAAAGCGCAGGGACTAAATTATAAAATCTACAAAATGCGGTTCCTTTATCGTCAAATGACACTCATCTACTTATTATAAGCCTTCAAATACGAGCTTTGACCTGACAGACGACATAGGTTTGCAAAATCGAACCATAAGTAAAGTCTTCAATGTACTTTCGGCCATCGAATTCGACAGTCTTGCAGATTACTCGTCATCGACTTCCGCATCATTACTAGTTTTCATGGAACAGTCGTGGGTGGGTGCATGGGCGGCAGAAAGCGTTTTGAGTTCGCTCATGATGAAGAGTGATAGGAGGGAAGAGAAGATTCGGAGGGGTAACTGCAGCGCTGCGCTGTTTACGAATTGCCGTTATTCCAGTCCTCCGGTCGTAGAGGTCGGTTTCGCTCAGAAAGGCTGTATCGGCCGGACAATAACCCTTTCGTGAGCTCGGATATGCGTGCAGTACGACAAACGAGCGACATCTAGGCAATCTTTCTTCCCGCGTAGTGAATGCCGCAACCCATTTACGGAAACTGTTTCTGGCATAAGTACGTTGTTGCCTGGTTTTCTTTGCGAGGATGAGTCCGGCTTGTTATTTGTTGTTGTCTAATGAGGCTTGGTGTCATTGACATGCGGATCCTGCACTTCTGATGCAGTTACGCAGATGGCGCCCCAACACACTCCGTCTCCTCCGTGAATTGGACTGGTTCAAGAGTTGTGCGTATTTTGTTGTTGGCAGGCAATTTTCGTGCGAGCATATCAAATATCGTGGGATTTAACTTACCCTGTGCCTTCATAACTTCAGCTCGCCGTAGGCCTGGCGTTTAGCCCCATTTTGGGACACAAGGGGGTGATCAGTCCAACATGCGGCACCATATGTCGTCTTTACCACCATAAAATCATGCCACGCTCTCCTCCCGACGAGTACATTGCTCGGTACTTGTCACTTACCTGAAGGGGAATGTATTCATGTTATTTTCAATGATAGAAGGAGTCGCATACCCCGGGGTTGGGTATGGTTCGCGGATGACGGCCAATCAGCCAGAACTGATCACTCTAGTTCCTTCCGTCTTAGTCGGCAATGCTATCCTGTCTATATTACGTGCCACTGTGCGGCTGCTGGCCGGGCTCGAGAGAGTTCCGTAATGCAATCGATGCGCGCCTCCCTGCCACTGTTAATATACCCGATCGTAACCGACGAGCATGGCTCAACGAGCCCAGGGCTCAATGATTAGGACGCTAGACCCCTCTCCGAGCAACGAGCATGGCAACGAGCCCATGGCTCAATGATAAGGATGTTGGCCCCCTCACCAGCAAGTCGTGAGTTCGGTCCTTGGGGGTCGCATATCGTGAAATTAGATATGACTGGCTGATGACGGCTAACAAGCCAAAGATGGCTCTTCCAGTATTCATTGCCTTTGTCGGTAATGTTGTTTTTTCCACGTTCTCTTCACTCATTTGGGAAGTTGGAGAAGGTATTTAGTTGTGGGCAGACCTAGAAAAGGAGGCCCTGCAGTTATCTAATTTTTGAAAGCTTACCACTCACCCAAGTGGCGTAATCTGTTTCTTTGAGGAAGACCGAAGATAACTGACTCGGACGCCATTAATACATGCGCGAGGAGGACGTAGAGACCCTCGTGGTCGTTATTTCTCCTTTGTCTCCCTCTGAAGGGGCGAATCTAAAAAGGTTTTTCTCGAGGGATTTGCTCCAAATTGTAACATCAGTTTTTAAGGAAAGTAACAAACTGAACATATGTATGAGGAGGTGCATAGGAAACGCTAGGCGCTCCACTACCAAGCTGACCTCCTCGCAGCTGAGTTACTTGGCGAAAAAAAAACCGGCGAAACAAGCGAGCGAACTTTTAGCCAATACCCATGCTAACAGTATGGTGCATCAGTCGACGGTTGTATACTGCTGACTGTCCGTTGGCACTGCATGAATATTGTGCGTTTATTGTGCTGAGGTCTATGGACTCCAGCTTACCCATTCATATTAACGCGCTCACCGAGCCCGGAAGTGTTTTGGGGATTCAAGTCCGCGCATAAGTTTCTGAAGAAATTAAATGTTTTACACCAAGAATTTGCCGTAACATAGATAGTAGTAGTTCGTAAGGCGACAGAGTACGGGAATAATTCATCAGGGGACAATACTGGTCAGTCGCATTTAAGAATCTACGTCACGCAAAACCGCATTTCTCCGATTGATGCCCTAAGGCGGCATCTGAGGGATACAAAGATTCCTGCTTCATATGATAAGGAAAGAATGATGAAAAAACGGTTTGAGCAAAAAAACCTCAGACATCAAATATGGAGCGAGAGAGGGGACCTATTGGAATATCGATAAAATTTGGACGCGTTTCCTCTTATGACCGTCCACAATAATCACGAGTGTGACAGAGTCGAGTTGGGCCTCATTATTTGCTATCTGATTGTTGACCCTGGCTTATGAGCCGCACCGATCCCGAAAGGCTTCAGAGTTCTTGCCGTCGACTCTGACACGTTTTTCACATAGGGCTCATAAGCCAGCACCATCTCATCTACGTCTACTACTAGTCGCTGTGCGACTGCTGCGAGGGTTCAAGTATGAGCCCCAAGGCAGAACGGAATGAGCATGCTCAGTAAACGGATCGGTGAGAGCCCATTGTCATAACATATATATATATATAACTGAGAAGATAAGGCGATCGCATGAACCATAGATATATTTGCCTGACGTTTCGAAAACACGCAAGCTTCCATCATCGGAGGTGGTTTGCGTACTGCACGTCACAGTATTTAAGGGTTTTGTTCTTCGTGCTGGCGTGTCACTGACTGCCAGCGCGCTGCATCTCAAGGCTTGGCGATTTGTTGTCATGGCGGCAACGGTTCCTCCTCATCCTTTGTCGGGTGTGAGAAGGGGAGCGGCCTCAGGGCGACCGCGGCCATTGCTCTTGTTTGCATTGTCCGTTGTCCATCCTCCGCGCATCTCGCCTTCCTGCCCTGTTCGCACCCGCCCGTACCCGTGTGGACGGTGGTTACCATGCTAGTGTTGACGTCGGGCTGGGGGTTCCTGTAACTGTCGTGGGATCTCGGCTCGCCGCCCCGTTCACACCTGCCCGTAACCGTGTTGACGTTGGGCTGGGGGTTCCTGTAACTGTCGTGGGATCTCGGCTCGCCGCCCCGTTCCCACCTGACCGTAACCGTGTTGATGGTGGTTGTCATGCCAGTGTTGACGTCGGGCTGGGGAGTCCTGTCACTGTCGGGCGCTCTCACCAGGGGCTGGCGTCTGTCTGTGTTCGGACCCAGAAGGCGGTCTCCTGGGTTTGTGTTCGTCGCCGGTTGTCCCCTGGTTTCGTCGGTTTTCGATTCCTGTCTATGCTCGTCTGTATTCCCGCTGGGTTTGGGTTCGACTGCTGCCGTCTCTGGCCTGACGCCTCGTCCGTAGCTCTGCTTATTGAATTTCGCCCGTAGGGCTTGGTAGGCGGCCGGCAAAGTTGCGCAGCGGTTGATCGAGGTAGTTGTGGTGTGCCAGGCTTCGAGCGTCTCCCTGACAGTTTGATCGCTCCCTTGGCCCTTGGCTTAAATACTGCCTCCAAACGTTCTGCACATTTGAAGGGACGGTGTACGAACAAATCAAAGGTACGCCGATGGGCTCACCACTATCCACCACTATCGCTGAAGCTGTTCTTCAAAGGCTAGAGACGTCGTTGTTCGCAACATACAAACCAAACTTTTGGACGCGGTATGTGGACAAAACTTTCGTCGTTCTCAAACGGGAAATGGTACAGAATTTTCATGCGCTACTGAACTCTTTTCTTCCCGATATTCAATTCACCATGGAGACAGAGAACAACAATCAGATCGCCTTTCTAGACGTTCTGGTCCATCGCAAGGTCAACGGGAGCCCGAAAACGACGGTCTACAGGAAGGCCACTAACACGCGCCAGGTCCTGTCCTACCACAGCAATCATCCGCTGTGTCACAAACGAAGCTGTGTTCGATCTCTCCTCAAGAGAGTTGACAATCACTGCAGGGAACCGGCCGACATGATAGCCGAACTCCACTGTCTACGGCGAATGTTCACCTCCAGCGGTTACCCCCGCAGCTTTATTGAACGCAGCAGACTGTCCAGAGCCACCATGAAGTCAACGGCAAATCAGCCGAAAGTCTGGCGAGCGCTGTCATATATTGCGAATGTTTCCGAGGCAGTTGCTCGTATTTTGCAACCATTGGGTATCGGCATCGCCCATAAACCCGAAGCGACAATTAGACGCCTGGCCATGAGACCAGAAACGACCCTGCCACGAGGCGAAACCGCCAATGTCGTCTATCGGA